GAATACCATCTTCATTTTTGTAGGAATATGGAGTGCCCTTCATGGAGACCAGTGCCAAGAGTGGTTTGAATGTCGACTTAGCGTTCACAGCTATCGCCAAGTAAGTTGCTTCTTTTTGACTTTCCATCTTTAACTTGCTCAGGGCACGTGGCACTGGGGGTGAGTTTATGGGACCAAAAACGTAGCACTGGGGGTGAGTTTATGGGACCAAGGGGGCCGTGTCTCAAAAAGAACCATTTGTGATGGTGCCACGCTGGCGGCAAACTGGTCCTTACCGGAGACAGGTAAGCAGGAGCAACGCCTTGTTGCAGGGCTGTGAGAAGAGACTAGGGAACCAGATTGATCAAACCGCTTGCATTTTGTTTCCAGGGAGCTGAAGCACAGATCTATGAAGCTGCCCAATGAGCCTCGCTTTAAACTCCACGACTACGTCAAGAAGGAGGTGAAAGGCGCCGGCTGCTGCAGGTCCTAGAACCCGCCTGGCCCATTTGAGGTTCCGCCCTTTGTACAAAGACTCGCAACCAGCGTCCCACGTCCCCTGCTGCATCTGTCTATGCCACTACATGATTCCTTCTTCGTGTCTGTGTGTTTGTCCAGGTGAAATTGGACATGTGGGAGCGCGGGAGGCGGAGGAGGGCCTGGGTAGCTTCTTTCCAGGAAGCCAGACACAGCTAAGAGGCTAAAAATAATAGATCTGTCGGGGAAGAAGGTAGTTGATAATCAACGGGAATTGTGGCAGCGAGTGAAGGATCTTTGGCAGCCTTCAAGCACAGGCGCCACTAAAACGAACGGGGTGTGTGGCTTGTGTGAATGCACATGCAACTCCTGTGCATTTTGGAGGTGCACACGTAGGACATTTTCCTAGGGGATGGCATTCCGTACCCCCTTTGATGTTAAGCTTTTCCCTGTTGGCGGCAACCTTTTTGGAATTGTGCTCTATGTTATTGTTGCAGCTTCAGCAAGTACCCAGGTCTGGTACTTCCAACCCTTATAAGTTCTTTATTATTATTTTTCAAACTCCGCTGGCGCTGCAATACGTGCCCTGCATATGTAATATAGCACCCAGAGCAGGGACAGAATTTGGCACCCCTTAACTCTGAGTACCCTTATAAATAAGTTTTAGTATCATTATTATTTTGCACTACTTTGGCTCTGCACACCCCGTGCGGGGGGACTGCTCACACCTCCCTAAATCCTGCGCTGTTCTTAACATCCGAGAAAGGGAGGGGAAATTGCTGCTGTCTGCAACATGTGGATCGCCTGTAGGGAGGAAGGAAAAAAATCCCATGTTTTCTTCTTGGGTCACTTGACCGCTGTGAGTCCGACTGGCTCATTCCTGAGTGCAAACACTTTGGCTTCTTTTTGTGGAGGCAGGTTATTACACAAAGCTAACTGGTTTTGTATCTTTGAAGTAACTATTTTTAAAGTGCAATTTGTCTCCCACCACTTGGTACTGTTTAACTCCCTTGCTGTGACTCTCATGGTTGCTCTTGGATACAAGAGGGTCTTTTTCAAACCGCTGCAACGTCGTGTACAAAAAAACGCTTGCCCTATCAGCTACTTTGATGGTGGTGATGCCTGGCTTTCTTTTTATGGCAGGGGTTTGAAAATGCGGCGCTTTGCTTCCCCCCCATAGGAGCAGGCAAGTGCGATGCCCATGGGGGTTTGTGGGGTCTCCAGGAAGGGGGCTTTGCTGTTCTTTGTTGCAAGGGAAGCTGCTGAGAAACCACCTTGCCCGCTTCTGCCTGCAGCCCTCCCTGGCTTCCACCTCCTGTTGGCATCAATAAAAGGGAGGTAGCGTAGCTTCGTGGCCGGGAGCACAAGGTGAAAAGTCCCTGACTCAATAGCCATAAGCAAAATCTCACAAACTAGCCCCAGATCTTTGGCACAGCACCAGCCCTTGACAGTACAGGAATAACCCAACACCTTACATTACCGTTGTAAGGATAATTGAGAATGTATATGAAGTGCTTTGTACACTCAAAGTGCTATATATATGTATATTTATTTATAAATACTAAGTTATCATGCTTTCTTTGGTACTGTGGGAGTTTTGTGTGTGTGTGTGTGTGTGCCGCTCATTTTCTTTTACTTAAAAGGTTTATTTAGAAACAAAGGCCCTAGACTGGATTCTTTCCCCCTCCTTATTGTTTCCGAGCTACTACAAGTTTCCTAAGGAAGACCACCTTGCCTCAGAGCCGGTTTGCATGCTCACAGCTCTCTTAAAAGCTTCAAGGGTCACCGCATCGCAGAGGAAACCAGCCACATAGTATGTGAATTGGGCCAGTTTCATTTTTCCCCATCCTGTACCATAGGAAAACAACTGGGCTGCCTGCTGCTGGCCCTCGATCCAAACACTCCTTTGCAGAATTCTGCAGCTTGGCTTCTGCGGCCTCCACTTTGCAAGAGAAGCATGGACTCAAAAGCGCTGCCTCTTTGCAGGGACTTGGGTCTGCCTCCTACATAGACTGGCTTTTGCTGCCACCTAGCAAGAGAGGCCTGTCCAGTTCCCAAACAGTGTTATTAATGTAGTAAGAAAATGCTGCCTCTTGTTTATAGCTTTCTCTCTCTCTCTCTATCTCCCCCCACCTCAATATTCCTAATAAAATACTTTTTTAAAACGTCGTTTTCCGGTCTCAAAAGCCTTAGGAAAGTAAAGCCAAAACTCTCCCTACAAGAACTTGCATTTTCCTCTTTGCTGATCTGAAAGAATGCCTCCTTTCTAAAAGAACTTTGTGGGTGTAAGTCCTGGTAGTTCCACCACCCAAGGAACCTAATATGTGGCATGTGCAGGGGCAGCTTCCAAGCGACAAAGTTTTGGAACTCCCCACAAAGATGCACCTGGCACCTACACTCGAGTAATGCTTTCATCGTGTGAAGATGCACCTCTTTACCATGGCGTTTTGACATTCGAGATTTATATTCTTAGGATCCAGCCTATTCTCATCATTGTAATTTTTGTGACCCTCCTGGGGGACCTTTGGGTGAATGGCAGGTATTTCATTAAACTAGTAATAATGTCACCAACCAATTTAAGAGTGCTGCACTCCATCACCATACATGGCAGTTTAAAACCTACCCATTGAGAATTTCTGAGTCTGTCCCCGCCTAAACTACAACCCGAGAGATCTGTTGGCTGCACCCTGATTTTCAGCTGGCTATCTGCAAAGAATCTTGTGCCAAACACCATTCTCGCCATCCATCATTCAAACTGGGGTGAGGGGTAGTGGAAGAATCAGTAGAAGCCTCAGACATTTAACTGCCACTTAGCATAAATCAGTGTGTTATTTTTCCTGTTGGCAAATAGGCATATTGTATAATGGAAACAACAGCCAAGGAAACAAATTTCACCCCCTCCCCCGAAACAGCTCTCCAGGAGTTCCAACGGGGAGACACTCAGCCCAACCTGAAATCATGACACTGGGGCCTTTCGCATTCAAGCAAATACTATACCATTGGGCTAAAACTACCCCCCCCCCTTATCAAATGAAAGTGTGAGTTCAGATAAGTTGGCGTCTGTTGTGTGAGATGAGATTTGATAATCCCCAAACATCCAGAGCCAGAAACCCTATTCAGAGGCAGATGTTTTCTGAGCAGAATACCTTTGCCCCTGTGCAAACACAATCTTTTTTTTAATAAGCTATCATTAATTGGGAAAAAGTATATTGTTGCAAACTTATTCACCAAGGGCTCTTAAATATATATTTTTGCATGAGAGAAATTCAAATCTGCTCTTCTTTTTGTGACTGGACAACATTTAGCTTGCTAAACATACGTTTGATTAAAAAGCTCTTGGAAAACCAAAGGATTTTAAGTTTACCTTCTGGAAATGTCAGATATTATTATAAAAGCACAGCCTTTCTGATAAAATGTATCCTAAGCATACATTACCTTGTAATAATAAAGCATTAGCTTATTTGGTTAGAGCAGGCATAGGCAAACTCGGCCCACCAGATGTTTTGGGACTACAACTCCCATCATCCCTAGCTAACAGAACCAGTGGTCAGGGATGGGAATTGTAGTCTCAAAACATCTGGAGGGCAGTTTGTCTATCCCTGGGTTAGAACATGGTGCTGATAATGCAAAGGTCGTGGGTTTGATCAGCATACAGGCCACCTGCATTGCAGGGAGTTGGACTAGATGACCACGGAGGTCCCTTCTAATACCGATTCTATGATTCAGCAAGCTGCTTTCTCTCATCTTCTGCCCACTTCTGCTTTTTAATCAAGATAGGCGTCAAAGGTCAGTCTCACAACAGTTATTCAAAGGTTTCAACAGAAGACGTCTCAAGTCTAAAAAGTAAAGTTTTCGCAATAGTTTTTCAAGAGTTTCAATGGAAGACGTCCGAAAAGTCTCAAGGACTGATACTACTGTTTCTTAATAGTCTTCATCAGCCAGTATAGTGAGCACTGATCCGTAGCATGAATCTTACTTACATATTCTTGTGAAAAATATTGGCAGACGAAGACTATTACAAAACAGTAGTATCATTCCGGAAACACCCCTTGAGACTTTTGGGACATCTTCCATTGAAACTTTTGAAAAACTAGTGTGAAAACTTTACTTTTTAGACGTCTTCTGTTGAAACTTTTGATGCCTATCTTGAACACATGGCTTAATGTTTTGCGCCACTAGTCTATTACATTGTATATATGAACTAATAGATTTATTTCTTTTTGAATGATCTCATTATTCTATTATATATGCTCTAACACTTATTAGCCTACGTGTTGCGTCTATATTTCTGTGACTGGTTCTCATTGCAACACAGGGGTTTGTTTTTGGCACTTCTGCTTTTTGACTTGTCTGTTATGCTCAGGCCGATCTGGCAAGCCCATGTGATGCATTCCAATAGAACCAGTCTCTGTACACTAATGAAAGCAAGTTCCTTCACGCAGATCTTCATTTCCTTAGGGTGCTTCCTATTTGCAACCAGCATCTGCAGGGCAGCAAAGTCCAGAGCAAAGAATTTTTTTACACTTGCAATTAGATGTCAAAAATTGATTTTACAGAACATTTTATTAAACAAAATTTACAAAATCTTGCCAGAAAAACTTGCATTTCTTTTATAAGCCAGGCAACACTAGAAAGAACAGATAAAAATTTACAGAAGGAAAATGTATTAAACAAAATTTACATTTTTTGCCAGGAAAATTTGCATTTCAGCATTCTCTGGCAATAGAGATGCCCTTTGTCTTTGAAGAGCACTGCCAGCTGTGCTGAAAACACTTTCACACGGCACACTTGTTCCTGGGATAGCCAGAAACCTCTTTGCAAGCACCTTCAACATGGGGAAGGATGCCTCATGTGCCTTCCACCACATCAGAGGGCATTCATCAAAGTCCACTCTTGGCATAGCCATATAGCTTCTTAGCTCTTTTTCTGCTTTCAATTCAGACAACGGTGCTAATCCATCTTCTGCCAGGTCCTCCTCTTCCTCCTCTAAATCAAAAATTTTCGCCAACCCTTTTTTGGGCTGAGGAGGCGGAGTACTGGGCTCCGTAGAAGCAGCACACAGACTCCCATGCAATTCTGCCATCTTCCTTATGGCCTCCTGCCTGACAGCCTCAGGAGCCTCCAAGAAGCGCAGGCGAAACCTTGGGTCACACAACGAAGCTAGACCTAAAGTGGTTGTCATAGGTGCACTTTCATACTTTTCTGACAGTGCGCCCAAAATTTCATGTTTAATGTCCTGCAGCAGCACACTGTCTCCCTCATCAGGCTGGAGACTTTTCTTAATTTGTCTATAAAGTGGCAGAACAGATGAAGCAGTGATATCATTGCTTCCACTCAGAGTCGTGGTGATGTCCTCTAACACAGTAGTTGCAGACACAAAGTCTTGTATAGCAGAGATATCACACTCTTCCAACATCAAATGGTTTTTGGAGGGATAACCCAGAAACATCTCACTCAATGCACTTTTGTTTTCAAGAAACGTTTGGCAGAGCTTAAATGTGCTCCACCATATTGTGGGACAAGCACTCGGCAAACTAACTTTCTCCATCTGAAGTATCTCTTGAGATCTGGCAAAGTCTCTTCTCATTTTCCAACTATGGCTAATGCTATTTTGCAGGTTTTTCAATCTTGTAACTGCCTTTTTCAGCTGTGTCAAGTTTAAAGCTCGGTTAACCCCAACAGTTATATTGTGGGCAAAGCAGGAAACGTGCTCTAAACCAAGCTGCTTAACTACTTTTACAATATTTGTACCGTTATCAGTAGTACTGCAAAATATATTCTTTACATCTATGCCCCATTCCGATAATGTGTCTGTGAGCATTTCACAAAGATTATCTGAGTTGTGGTCCTTCAAAATATGTTTACAGCCCAAGAAAGCATTAGTCAGCTTCCACTCATCTGATATGAAATGTACAGTCACTGCCAAAAATTGAGTGCCTGCTACTGATGTCCAGCAATCAGTAGTGATGACCAGCTCAGTATCCTTTATCCGGCTTACTTCTCTCTTCATTTTCTCCACGGTGTCATTGTACAGTTTTGGAACTCCTTTGGTTGCAAAGTATTTTCTGCTGGGCAACTTATATCTTGGGTTTAGAGTGTTAACCATCTGGATAAATTTTGGGTGGTCCACTGTGTCGTAAGACTGCATGCATGTAGCCACATACTCTATGATTGCCTGAGTACAAGATTTCGGTGCCTTCGAATTGAGCGGCTGAACATCCAATGTTGTTTTCAGCCGTTTTTTAGGATTTTCTGCAACCGTTACTGCAGGCTCAGCAGCACTAACCGTTGTTGCAACTGGAGGATCATCAGCTTCATTGCACGAATCAACGGAAATGTCTCTTGATGGAGAAGCCAACTCCCTAAATTTCAGTGGGTGGTGAAACTTGAGGTGGCTACTTAGATTTGAGGTGTTTCCGCCTTTCGCAGATACCGAATTCAAACATAGCTTACAAATGGCGATATTATCAACCACCACACGGTCACTTTCATCAGCAGGCAAGCCAAAATGCACCCAAACCGCACTTTTGGTTTTGGGCTTGGCTACCAAATGGTGGTATTCAGGACAATTCAAAGAACGGCGATGATGAGTTACATATAATCTGGGAAAACATTAAAGAAAAAGAAAAATCTAATTTTGATGTATATGATACATGAAAAGCAACTCAATGACAGCATTCTTCAACTAAACAATTAAAGATTTCTGGAGAAGATATGAATGTCCTATATAGTCTTGGGGGCAACTTTAAAATTTTAGAACGTAGTAGATGGCAGTGGAGAGCTGAGCCTGCACTGCGCAGGAATCAAAAGAAGCACTGGCTTCACGGTTTTTCCAAAATCATGATTTTTGCATAGCACACACACATCACGATTCATGATTTATTGCCACATCACATACTATGAAAATGCTATAATAATGTGGACTTCAGAAACGGTTTTGAATGATATACAGTGGTACCTTGGTTTACGAACTTAATCTGTTCCGGAAGTCCGTTCTTAAACCAAAGCGTTCTTAAACCAAGGCATGCCTTCGCATAGCAGCGGGGGAACAACTTGGATTAAGAACGTTTGTAAACCTGGAAGTACAGTAGGTGTTTTGGTTTGGGAACTTTGCTTTGGAATAAGAGCATGCTTCACTTCCTGTTGAGTGTGTTCCATTTGTAAATTGAGTCCCCTGCTGCTATGTGAAAGCACACCTTGGTTTAAGAATAGACTTCCAGAACAGAGTAAGATCGTAAACCAAGGCACCACTGTACTGATACATCGCCCAGCCCCCCTCACCAATTTGTTCTCTTAGCTGCAGCCCGTACCTCATAACGTCTCGCAGAGTTGGGAGTTCAGAGGGCAACAATTCTCTGGCAGTTCCAATTAGATCGCTCACGTGAGTGGATGTCCCAAGACTTGTTCTCTGGTTAGAATCCATTGAAGGTCAATTCCCACTGGTTAAGACGGTAGTAGTAGTAGTAGTAGCAGCAGCAGCAGCAGCAGCAGCACTGACAATAAATTTTTAACACAATGATGAAGATTCTTCAATCTGTGAAACAATCAAATACAGCTACAGCACATTAGTGAATTATATACGTGTTTAACTGTAATATACAATTCAATATAAAAATATGTATAGTATATAAATAAAAAATAAAATCAATATATAACTGCAAGTACTTGACAATTATTTAAATGTTTATGCAATTTTACACATTTTTTAAAAATAAGACAAATTTAAAATTAAGTTGCATTCCACACAAATGTTAAAAATGTTTGTATGTACAGTGGTACCTCGATGTGAACGGGATCCGTCATTTTGAGCGTCTGCGCCATGCGGCAAAACCCGGAAGTAATGCTTTCCGTTACTTCCGGGTCGCCGCAGAGCGTAACCTGAAAACGCTCAACCTGAAGCACATTTAACCCGAGGTATGACTGTACTTATTCAGCAAGCAAAACTAAATTATATTAATTCAACCAAAATATTTTTTTAATTCCCAAGTCACGTTGCAACTTTTAGCACCCCTCATTTTTTGAATTTGAAAGTTGAAAAATTCAACACACCTGAATTAGGTTTGTGCCAACCTATTGGCACTCCACATATTCTGTTTGCTGGCCATTTTCCTATGAGAAAAACAATGGAATAATACGGTTATCTCAATCCACTAACATTGGCTGGGGTAGTAAATGCATCCCAATGGCAAAACTCAATGTATTTCTGGGACATTTTATGTCGCAGGTGATTTTTTTTTCCCAAAAGGAAAACTGTAACTAGTAACAAGCTAAAATTTGGGTCTATTCATCCAAGGAACACCCTCTAGGTCTACTTATGCGTAAAGTGCACAATGAAAAGTGTGTCTGGTAAATTTTCTTGGATGGTTAAAAACTCACCACAAAGGCCTGGCACAACCCAGTGTCCTGCTAGATCACTTCTGATACCAACATAGTCTCTTCTCTTCTCCCGTGTGCTTCCTGAAGAAAATTAAAATAAGAATAAGAATGAATAAAGTGCAAATAATACATTTTGTTTTCAAAACAGACAGGAACAAGGTTCTAGTTTGAAAGGAAGGTGCCTCTCTGAAATCAGCTTTTAAGCCTCAGCTCGTGCTCGTAATCAGTAAACTGCAACCAGTTTTCATACGAGGTGTCAGAAAATTAAGAGCTCATCATCGGCTGCTGTCCGATGGGCCTAACAGATTACCCACACAGATTTTCCAAAATCACAGTTTAGGCTCCTCCCTATCTACTGGGTTCATATCATTCAGTGGCAGCAAACACACCTGGAAAGGTAAAGGAGGAGGCCTTAACAAGGACCCCAGGGGCTGGACCTGGTCAAAGGGGGTCCAGCATCCCGTTCTGAGAGTGGCCAACCAGATGCCTTGAAGAATTCTGTAATCATCCTAGCCACACTCAGAAACAAACGCTTCTCACAGGTAGGAAAAAAGACCAAGGGAAGGAGGCCTCAACAAAGCCTTAAACCAGACTGGAGACCTACACATAAAATGAACTGGCCCAACACTCAACATTGATATGACCGTTCTGCTATGCTGCCGGAGAAGGATTTGCATCAGCAAGAGGTTGCAAGATCCTCCCTTTCTGAAACGTAAAGGGTCCTTTGCAGGATCTAAAGCAGATCACCCATTCCATGAGAACTATGAGGCATGAACGAGAGGTTTTACCACCTCCTTCAAAGCTCTAACTTTCATTAACTCATACAAACAGGTAAACGCGTTGTCTCCTTTCTGGCCCTGCTACCAGAAAATCAATTCACCCTATCACCAATTGTGAGAGATCTAGCAGTTAAAACAGTGGTCTTTTAACTTTTTCAGAATATAAACCTGGATTTGGGGACCAATTTCATAATTTTGGGCCATGTAACTTATCTAGTGGCCTGGATAAGATCTCAACTAAGTAATGTTGCAGACCGGGTGCAAACCCTGCTCAGCCATGAAATTCACTAGGTGACTCTGGACCAGGGTATAAATATACAAACTGACACGTGGGGATTAAAAAAAACTATGGGTGTCATCCAGTGTCAATCCCACTCAGAGCATAGCTATAGAAATTACTAGACCGAAGACTGCCCTGTCCATTAATTACCATGGGTCTACTCTTAGTAGACTCCTGCCAACCTAGGAGTTCGAAAGCACGTCCAAGTGCAAGTGGGTAAATAAGTACCGCTCCGACGGGAAGGTAAATGGCATTTCCGTGCGCTGCCCTGGTTCGCCAGACGCGGCTTAGTCATACTGGCCACATGACCCGGAAAAACTCTGCAGACAAACTTCGGCTCCCTCGGCCAGTTAAGCAAGAGGAGCACTGCAACCCCCGGGTCGTTCATGACTGAACTTAACGATCAGGGGTCCCTTTACCTTTTACTCTGGGTAGAACTAACAGTGACTGCAATTCTACACCAGGACGAGGTTTTCGATTCTTTACAGCATTTTCGTAATATTCCAAAGCTTTCAACAGGTCTTAAATAAATATAAAACATTTTAAATAAAAAACACAACTGCGCCTGTTCACACGTGATTTGTGCCCCTTTTGGAATGTTCTGCTGTTGGGTCAAGCGAGACTAACCACTATAGACCTAGAAACAGGCCTTTCCGCCCGCGTAAAGCAAACCTTACCGTCAACAGTTCGAGCGCAAGCGGGAAAAAGAACGCGCAAGCTCGTGGAATCGGCTTTTATAAACTCGCCCCACTTCCCAATTGGCTGGTACTTGCTCAGGGACGCTAGCCAATTGCGTTGCCCTGTCGCACGACCTTCTGCAGCCAATCGTCTTCCTCCACCTACAGACCCTCTTTCCACTGGCCGGCGCAGTCTACAACTTCACGCCATTGCTCCCTCCCCCCGCCGCTATCATTCTGTCTCGGGACATTTGATTGGATAAGCCTAACGTGACTCAAAGTCGGCACAGCCATAGAAGCAAAAGAAATCAAGGTGGGGAGTAGACGGAGGCCTTCTCAGCGAGACCAATAAAAAAGCAGCCGGAAGGGTCGCGCGACACGCCGCTGGAGCAGGCGCTCATGGGAACTGTAGGCCGCAGGCCGCAAAAGAGGAATTTCGGTGAAGCGCTGCACTGGGAGGAAAAAACCACGAATCCCGGCAGCCTGAGCGGCGAGCGGTCGTTATTTCCGGCCCGGCTTGCTGGGAGGCCCAGAGGTGGGGAGCAGACAACCAGGCGCTTGGCGGTGCAGGAGCTGGACTCTGGCTGGGAGAAGGCGGGGGAGCCACCATGTGCCGGGGGGCCGCGCTTGGGCCGGCCGCCTCCTCCCCCCGCCACTCCCCCGCGTCAGGTGAGAGCGCGAGGGGCGGTGCCTGTGGGTGGCGAGGGGGAGGGGCCTGCTGAGGCGGGCGCCCCTCCCTCCAGGTGCTGAGGGGAGGAAAATATTATTATTATTATCATCATCATCATAATCATATTCTATATCTCTTCAAGGAGCTCAAGACGGTATACGTGGCTTTTTCATACCCCCAAATGCATTTTATCCACACCACAGCCCTGTGAGGTATGTTAGGCTAAGGTAGCATTATTCATTTACTACGTCCTTTTTAGCATAATAAGGATATTGAGATTATATATATACAGTATACACACACACACACATATACATACTGCAATATATATGGCGGAATATATATATTTTTGACTGCCCCTCCATTTTTATCCTCACAGCAAACCTGTGAAGTTGGCTATGTTGAATGTTAGTTACTGGCCCCAAGGTCTGTGATTCTGTTGTTGTTGTATCTTATTCTTTGTCATTGTTGTCCATCCTCCCCGCTCCTCCCTTTTTCTCTACCCAACAATCCTGTAAGGTAGGTTAGGCTGAAAGATAGTTACGGGCTCCAAAGTCACATTGCAGTGTACATGGTTAAGTAGGGCTTTGAATCCCTGATCTTTGACCAATGCATCAGCCCCGTCTAGCATGGCTGCATAATGCTGTCTTCAAGAATTGGTGCCCAAGTTTGCTTGTTTATTCTCTTCTTGTGCCCTTTCCTTGTGTGTCCTGGCTTGGATTGTAAGCCTGTGGATGTGAATTGTCTTATTTTAACTTATTGTATATAAGTTGTTCTAGAGGGGTTTTTTTGTTTTTTTGTTGAAGAGCACTACAAAAATGCTTTAAATCAGTGGGCAGAAAGCATATTGAAATTTCTGGTAGGTCTCTGAGCAATTTCTTGTAGATTGGCAGGTACGTAATATATAATACGTTAGAATAAAATAAATTCCTTTTCCCTATAACGTAATATAATAACTATAAACTATAATAACTGTAGCAAAATGCAACCCCACATTATAATAGTGAAATGAAGAAAGCTTTGTTGGGGGAGGGTAATCAGAATGAGGACTGGCGGTCCCCCCCCCCCCACCTTTGGTATTCTAAATAAATTTGGAGGCTCAGATTTCTTTAATTCTGGTCCTTCACACCAGGTTACACTTAGCAGATCTCAGGGTTCTAGATGTTAAAAAACAGAATAGATTCCACAGACTTGAATCCTGACCATACTTGCTTTAAATATATATATATTTAATGTTGGTGCTGATTGGGATGGCAGTTCATTTGGGCACCCAACTGACTGCTCTAACTACTTCAGGGCAGCCAAGGCAGTGTCTGATCCATACAAGGGCCTGCAGCTGGATTGCCACTGCCTTCTCAGGCACCCTGTCCAAGAAGTGAGTACAGTGGTACCTCGAGTTACAAACACCTCAGGTTACAAACTCCGCTAACCTGGAAGAGTTACCTCGAGTTGAGAACTTTGCCCCAGGATGAGAACGGAAATCATGTGCAGCGGCAGCAAGAGGCCCCATTAGCAAAAGCACGCCTCTAGTTAAGAACAGTTTCAGGTTAAGAACGGACCTCCAGAACGAATTAAGTTTGTAACTACAGTGGTACCTCGGGTTACATACGCTTCAGATTACATACGCTTCAGGTTACAGACTCCGCTAACCCAAAAATAGTGCTTCAGGTTAAGAACTTTGCTTCAGGATTAGAACAGAAATCGTGCTCCGGCGGTGCGGCAGCAGCAGGAGGCCCCATTAGCTAAAGTGGTGCTTCAGGTTAAGAACAGTTTCAGGTTAAGTACGGACCTCCGGAACGAATTAAGTACTTAACCCGAGGTACCACTGTATTTGTGACTGGACAGTAGTTATTTAACACTTCTGAGTGCTAAGGCGGGGCACACCAGAATCACACACACCCCACCCCCACCCAGATTTGGAGGGCCTTTGCAGTGTACTTCAGAGTTGGAGAACCTGTGACCCTCCAGATATTGTTTCACTACAATTATCATCATTCCTTGCTGACTGAGGCTGATGGGGTTTGGAGTCCAATACTTTCTGAAGGGTCATAAGTTACCTACTCCTGCTCTAAGTCTGCCTGCACACCATACATTTAATCCCCACCCCTGAATCCTGGGCACTGTTGTTTACCCCTCACAGGGCTACAATTCTCAGCACCCATAACAAACTATAGTTCCCTTGATATTTTTTTTCTGGCAGGTGTGGGACCAGTGATGTGCTTTAAATGTGCAGTGGGTACACAGCCTTAGTCTTTTTATGAGATTCTGATTTTGTAATTTTTATGGTGGACTTCCTTGCGTTTAGGACAAGTGTTACAGCAACTTACTGTTTCAGCCTTAAGTTTGCAGGCTGCAGGAATGTATTTCATGGGTTGCTTTAAAAAAAACCTTGATAAGTTGCAAATGGATGGGGTTTTGTTGTTTTTTTTAAAAAAAAGAAACACTTGCCCTTCTATGAGTAAGGAGGGCTTCCCTTTCTTGGCTGAAGCCTGTTGGGAATGGCCGAGATGAGGAAGTGCTAGATGATTGGCTGAGGTTGGTAGGGGATTTTCCTGATGAATTTACATATCGCCTATTGCTCTGCATGCCTTCCTATTTACATCACTGAGAGAGCAGACTACAGCAGAGGCCAGCAGGCATGCAAGAGACATTTTGAAAGAGGGAAATCTTTGCCTGAGATCTTCTCGGTGGAGTGTTCTGCATGATTCAGCTATCGGTTTGCATGTGAGGTAAAATACTTCCTTTGTGGACTCTCTCACTCTCACTGGGAAAATACTATGGCTCTGTGTGAGCCCATCAGCAGATCACTAAACTGCTGCCTAGATCAGAGGGAATTGGAATCAGTTGTGTCAGTTGAATAACTTGAGCTCAAATCAGTTTATGGACTTGAAAAACCTTCATGTTTTATTTTTCCAACTTAGATACCACTATTCATCCTCACAGGCTCCCAAGGTGGTTAACTGCTTAGGCTCCTGTTTTGTGTTAACTCTTAATGGAGCTGTAGAAGGTTTTGAACTCTTAGGTGCCTGAGCAAAAGGATGGTTTGAGGTGTCCTGGTTCTGACTGGTGTTAAACTGTTTGCTGCTCTTTATTCCTACTCATTCTGGAGAGCTGCTGACTGTTGCCTCCTTCCTTGGAGGAAGGTGCAGTGTTCAGCCTATGGGCGGTTGTGCTTCATAGTGGCTTTGTTTAACTTCCCTTTCATGCTTAGGAGGTTTTGTGTACAAGGAGGGCGTAAATGTCAGTGATTCCAGAGTTTTCATTTCTCAGGGCAGCTCTTTAAGCCAGCTGGTCTTTCACCCATTGGATGAAGTGCTACAGCTGTTTTCTGGGCTCTTGGGCCAGCGGAAGCAAAGGTTAGCCTTGTGCACTGCTTTTTAATTTGGTTTTAGAACAAAGTTAAAGCAGACAGTTGAAAATCACCTATCATTTTCTTGCTTCTCTGATTTTGTTACCTTTTGAGATGCAAGGAGGCTAGGTTCTGGTGGATTGTGAAATGGTGCTGGGGGATGGAATGCAGTGTGCTGCGATTTGTCCAGCAATAATTAGCAAGGGTCCAGACCTTCCTAATGTGCAGGTGCAGTGTTATAAACTCAGATATATAAGCTGTGCACCAAATGGCTCCTTAAACCAGGGTTGCAGTCACCAGAACGGAATGTCTAGTTGCCATTTTTGGGTAACATGGCTCAGTCTAAATTGTTATTTTTCAAAGGATGCACTGAGTCTGATTGATTCTCAGTGAAACATCTGGCTAGTTCAGATGACAACCTTCACCTAGGTTAAGAGCTTTGACAACTTAAAGCAGAAAAGTCCCTTGATCCAGGGACAGTCCTCATATATATTGGCCTGTTCAGATCTCTTTTTCTTAATGGTGACTGCTCCTGCTCAGGCTGCCTCGAAGAAACATTATGGTTCCAGAAATTCATTCCTAATTGTACAGATAAAATATAACTGATAGCATTCTACAGAATGGGGTATTAGCATGTGAGAACAGTCCAGATCCAAACCCAATGATTCTCAGGATGCACCTCCAGATGGTGGAGACTTCAGGTGCCATCCTGGCTGCTAGGCATCTTCACTTGGTCACAAGTGGTTGATAGCCAGATGCAAAATGCACCTGCCGCCTGACTAATTTTGAACACTGCCCAGGTGCATCCAGTATGAATGTGGGCTATCTTGCTTTCTGCCAAGTTGGCTCATCATGGATGAGCTCTATGCATTAGTTTCCATGGGTATATGTGACCAGTATTTCATGCAGCAAGCATGTGAAATGTGAGTCCAAAGCCCCTGATAGAGGCCTCGTGCATGCACCATTCACAAGTTACACATTTACAGCAGCAGCAGCATAGCAAATGTACCCTGAGTAGTGATGATTGCAGCATGGCAGAGCAGCTCTAACTGCACAGGGATGGAAGATACCTAGTGGTGCTGGCATAATCAATAATATAACTAGAGTCCTGTTGGAACTGATCAAGGGTCTCTCTAGCTCAGCATCCTTTTTCCAGTGGTGACCTTGCCAATGTGTCCAGGAAACCCAAAAGATAAAAAGGCTGAGAGCCAGCTTTCATTCTTTAGGGATTACTTCTATGCTGAATTATGAAAATCTTCAGCTGTTTCTTTGGCAGCATTGTAAAATGCCTAGGTGACTCAGCCTGACAACCACATGTGAAATACCTTTAAGGAAGTAATTGTGAACTGATTTCAGTGCAGTGTCTTGGCTTGGCTTTGTTTTTTAGAGGGTTAGATGTGAATTAGTTTCCATCCTTTCTCAGTCTATGTAAGCTTATATTTTTAAAATTTTTATCTTTTTGTTGTTGTAAATAATACATTAGGTTCTCTCTTGAGCTTATTTAACACTGATTACAGTGGTACCTCGGATTAAGAACTTAATTTGTTCTGGAGGTCTGTTCTTAACCTGAAACTCTTCTTAACCTGAGGTACCACGTTAGCTAATGAGGCCTCCCGCTGCCGCTGTGCGATTTCTGTTCTTATCCTGAAACAAAGTTCTTAACCCGAGGTACTATTCTGGGTTAGCAGGGTCTGTAACCTAAAGCATCTGTAACCCGAGGTACCACAGTATATGCTTCCTAGTGTAGTTTGGGGAAAATCCTTGGTACCCTGTCTGCTGTGGCAGCTAGCAATTTGAGATATTTATTCACTTACTTTAGTATCGGGCTGGCAGTCTTGCTTTTGATTCTAGTGTCTGAAATTTTATTTTCTTTCTTTTCTGTGATAGTAACAGCTTACTTAACCAGTTCTTAAATGCTTGGAATATTTCCCTTCCTCCGTATTCCATAATTGGGCTAAACTAATCTTTGCTGCCACCAGCATAAGCTGGACCAAGCTTGAGCAACATTTTCTGGAACAGATCCAGTAGTAGTCCTTCAGGTTCATGTATTAACATGCATGTATTCATAAAACTGGTAATGATCTGGGGAACCTGTGACCCTTCAGTTGTTAGACACCATCGGGCCAGTGGCCAGGGATGATCAGAACTGCAGTTCAGTGACATCTAAAGAACACAATATTGCCCATTCTTCCTCTATTCCCAGACCATAGGAGGGGTGAGACTTGGACAAAATAGCCAGCTCCCAGGGAGAAACATAGGTGAGCCCTCAGTAGCCTTCCTCATACCCTGTTTAATCTTGCCTAAGAGGTGATACTTCTGAGTGGTTTTGAGACATCAAGATGGCTGCAGGCTCTGCACTTTTGACTGAAGAGCTTTTGTGGTACCTTTCCAGTATTTTCTCAGCAAAGGACAACCCCGCTGATAACTAGCATGTCTACTTAAATAATCTCTGTGTTAATAATTTGCAACTTTTTTCAATTCAACCTGCCTTGTTAGTTGAAGGTGATTCTGTTGTGTTAGAGTTTGTTGGGCTTGAGTCTGAAGGTGCAGGAGATAGATCCATTTTCCGTGATGCAGCTTTGGTGAGTACCCATGAGCTGCAGCAGAAGTTGGCTAAGGAAGCAGTTTCGTGGGCTATGGTCAGTGTTCCCAGGACAGTGCCTGGATCTGTGGCCTCTAAGTGCAGATCAACAAATGCAGGAAATGGAGAGCCCTGTGGGTTTTTTCTTTCTTTCACCATGAGTAACTCCGTTTCATTCTAGAGTCCTGCAATTGTTTGTTTTCTTCTGAGTAAACAGACTTCCAACAAAGGAAACAGGAGGACACAAATACTACTGGAGTACATCAGATTTTATAAGGGGGCAGGGAGAAGGAAGCCTAAATGTAAATAAATCCATATAAATAATTCTCTGTCCAAAAAAATGGCATAGGTTTCTTATGTACCAGCACATCACTTGGCCATATTCATCTGGCTGGCCAGAACTGAGAACTAATTCATGGAGTATTAAGCTGTCAATAGCTACTAGTCACAGTGGCTTTGCTCAGCCTCCTCTGAATACCAGTTGCTGGGAATCACAAGTGGGGAGACGGCTGCTGTTGCACTCATACCCTGCTTGTGGGATTCTCATTGGTGCATCTGGTTGGCCACTGTGAGAACAGGATGTGGGACTAAATGGGGCCTTTGCTTTGATCAACCAGAGCTGCTTTTATGTTCTTAACAGAATGATGGCCTCAGTGGACCTTGGTCTGACCCAGCAGGGCTCTTATGTTCTTATCCCTGTTCCTAATCATATACTGAGGTGGATGGCTTCCACCTCCTCTCTGGCATCTGATTGCCATCAGCAATGTGACTGACTGAAAGCCCGTTCTTTCAGCTTACTCTTTCAAGTTTATTTTTTATTTTTGGCAAAAACAGAGAAGTAAATTAAACAAACAAAAAAGCACAACCCTGAGTTGCACAGCTGTCTTTTCCAAACAGAGGCAGGCCATGGGACCTGGATCCAGTCTTTCCACCACCACCTCTTCAAGGTAGGGCTGCATGTTCTTCTTTGCCAGCTGTGGCAAGAGGCTACTCAAACTGCTTATGTTCCTAGTGCAAAGTGAGAGGTTTGGTTTGCTGATGGAACAGACAGGCTAGAACGTGGCTTAGCACATACAGTCTTGGGAGTAGAGAACACCAGAAGAGACTAGCTGCTGGATCAGATCAAGGGGGGGGGGCGATTCAGTCCAGCATCTTGTTCTCACAGTTGCCAACCAGATGCCCCAGTGGGAAGCCCACAAGCAGGACCTGAGAGCAACAGCGCTCTTCCCCGCTTGTCATTCCCAGCAACTGGTATTCAGAGGCATGCTGTCTCCAACAGAAGAGAGTAGGACTTACCCATCCAGCTTGGTGGCCATCACTCCTTCCTGGAGCTAGGGCACTGTTGCTGGATAGGTGCTTCTGCAGAAGGAGAGCTTGTCTTCTTCCAAAGGTAAGATCAGAATATTATTTTTGTTTTTTAAACTCTCTCATACCAAATGTAACGGATTTGTAGAAAAGGCTTTACATCCTGAAAAAAGAGGCAATGCATGTACTGTTGTAAACCAAGAAAATCTTTAATTAAAAGTATATTTTTTTTAAAAAAAGGGACGCGGGTGGTGCTGTGGGTTAAACCATAGAGCCTAGGACTTGCTGATCAGAAGGTCGGTGGTTCGAATCCCCGTGACGGGGTGAGCTCCCGTTGCTCGGTCCCTGCTCCTGCCAACCTAGCAGTTCAAAAGCACGTCAAAGTGCAAGTAGATAAATAGGTACCGCTCCAGCGGGAAGGTAAACAGTGTTTCCGTGCGCTGCTCTGGTTCGCCAGAAGCGGCTTAGTCATGCTGGCCACGTGACCTGGAAGCTGTACGCTGGCTCCCTCGGCCAATAAAGCAAGATGAGTGCTGCAACCCCAGACTCTGCCACGACTGGACCTAATGGTCAGGGGTCCCTTTACCTTTACCTATATTTTTTAAAAATCACTTTAATTAGGAAAACATAAAAATAAAAACACTTCCATAAGATATAAACAAGGCACACATCATTACAGTCAAGCCACCGTTATAAAATGAGTCAGGAAAAATTAATTAGATCTTGCCTTTGACCAATTCTCCAGGAGGGTCCTCGACTGGTCAAAGTAAAGCAAAACACTCCTAAGAGCAATATAGCATTAAATAGCAGGATGTGCATTTAAAAAATAGGGCCATGTTTCTCAAGCTGCGCAAATCACTTAATTAAGGCATTCCTTAAATTACTGAGGTCTGTTACATTCTCCCTGACTTTGGAACTTCATTTGGTGGCCTCGCCAAGCTTCTACATACCCCCTCTCCACAGCTGGTGTACATACATTTGCTCCAGATGACACCACTTTATCTTCGGCTGGAGGTAATTAGATTCACAGCAGTCAGAAATCCACAGCCCCAACTTCTTATTTTTGGGAAGGAAATCAATCCAAGCCTTTCCTGCTTATATTCCTGTTGGGCTTGCAAAATCATTTGCTCACCCCATTTTTCTGCTGTCGTATCTTGTTTAGTTACTTACTGTGTCTGTGGAATGCTCTCCCCAGGGAAGTTCGCCTGGCACCTTCATTATACACCTTTAGGTGCCAGGCAGAAATGTTCCTTTTTAACTAGGCCTTTGGTTGATTTGATTGACATCCTATGCCCTTTTAAAATGTGGGGTGTTTTGGGTGGGGGTTATTGAGTTCTTTTTATTTTGATTATATATTTTGTTGTCTTATATTTTGATTTTGTTCTGTGAACCGCCCTGAGGCCTCTGGGTATAGGACAGTATATAAATCATCATCATCATCTGCTGTGTTTGAAAGCCCACATGGCTGAGCATATAACTAGATGCTGAAGGGCCTATTCCTGGGGTCCTTCCACTTTTGTTCCTTCATCATGTTTATTTTGTGGAGCTCCTGTTTCATTTTACATGCCCTTTTAATCTATGAAAGTTCATCCCTTCTTTGGCTGCTACTCTTAAACCCATTTCCAGGCTGCTATGAATAATCCAAGGATATTGGTAATCCCTAGTAAATCTCCCTCGCTAGAGAGTCTTTCTTCATGGCATTGAAGGAAGTGCCTTTTTTGGAAGCATCACAAACTCCATCCCTTGTACTCATCTCAGGATGTTGCAGGCTTCTCTCACCACACACCTCATTTAATTTAAAAATTAGAGCCTACGGTAGACATGGCTGCCTGGCCACATTTTGTTTGACTCTTAAGTGATGTTTGTGAACCAGCTCAGAATGTTTCCTTAATAGCTGCGGCAATAATTTTTGTAGAAAAATAGCTAGTATCTACTGCTCTTTAATGCCACGAAAGTGATTGGTTTCTTCTGCTTCTCACAGCAGCAAAACCCAAAGTTAATTTCCTGTTGAGTGAGGCACTACCTCTTTATATTGATCTTGAACCTTTTGCCCATCAACTTCATAAGAATGTAATCGTCTCATCTGGTTGAAGTACACCTTCATTTTGTGTTTAGCGAAATTTTAGCTTGGAAGTAGAGAAACCATTTCATATGCCACAATTTTTTTAATAGTATCCAACTCAAACCAAGGCTATGCAGGGTGGGGAACATTCCTTTGTTTCCCTCTTCCCCCATGCCCCTTTTGATTTTGGTTTGAGAATTTGAACCTAGTAAAAAGTGTTTAAAGAGCTGGAAAAAAGAGAAAGCACCTGGAAGCTGAGCTCTCTTGTAAGAATGAATTGTTAGTTTCTCTGTTACAGTGTTGACAGCTCTACAGTTTGCCTTGTCGTTTTCTGAGCTGAACAGGGCAAGTGGAGTCCAGGAATTGCAGCTCTCTTAATTGATCCAAGGTTTTGCTCTTGGCCTCTTCCCACATATGGCTCAGGTCACATGGAAGAGAAATGTTTTTGCAACAGAAGATCCAAGTGCATTAGCTGTGCCTCCTCCAAGGAGCCAGCCCACGCAAGGAGAGGTCCAAGCACCTAGGTGGCTGTGTAGCACATCACAGAGCAGCCTCATAAGTGGCCACTAGGTACTGCTTCCTTTCCTAGGCCTGACACCTGACATGTGGGGAATGAACCCTGAGCTGTGTGTATAGGCAAAGGCTGAGTCTCCAGCTCCTCCCAAGCTCTGCCAGAGCACAACCCCTGAGAGAAGTTTGTATCAAGGAGAAGCACATCCAACTGTTAAACTGTTTTAATATTGTATTTAAATGTTGCAACCCACCCTGGGACCTTAGAGTGAAAGGCAGATAATTATGAATAATAATAATAGCAATAATTGTGCTATTTTTAAAAATATTAAGTTATTTTAAAAAATATTCTTAAGCCAGCTGTGCACAGGCTTGGTGCAGCACCTTTTGCATGTCTGAGATTGATTATAAATAAAGTATATTGTCCTTTAACAATGTTCTTTATTTTTATGTTACCAGAGGCAGCGTTTAGAACATTCAAATGTGGGGTTAGATTATGAGCGCCAATAAGAACACCCGCTACAATCGTTTCCCCAGTGGTACAACAAACTGTGCTGCTTCAGAAAACACTAACGGGGTAAGAGAATGCAACATGATTTTGAGGGTGGGCCTTTAGAGTCCTGGCTTTTGTTAGCTTACTCTCTGAATTTCTCAGAAAAATGGGCTGTGCCTCTCTTGACAGTTTGTGGTCGTATCCAGTCAGCCCTCCTTTTACTAACCCTGGTTAACTGGTGCTTTCAGTCTACAGAGGACAGATTATGTGATGATGTGTTTCCTCTCTTTTTCCAGACCAGAATGGAGACAACTTTTGGGCCTGCTTTTTCTGCAGTGACTACCATCACCAAAGGTCAGTGTTGAGCAATCTCTAGTTATTATCACACTGCATTGAAGGGTTATAATTTTGCTTCTGTTCATGGAACAATGAAATTCCACAGCATCTTATGTCACATCCACAACATGTATTTATAAGCATGACTTTCCCCAAAGGTGCTGGGAATGGTAGTTCTGGGAGGGGTGAACTACAGTTCCCAGGATTCTTTGTAGGGGAGCCATGTGTTTGAAATGTATGATGCGCAGCCACTGGACAAGGTCCTCCACATATCCACATAACAGCCAGCCCACAGAAATGTGGAGCCGCCGGCCGGAACACAAACAGCCATTTAGGGCCTGCCAGCATTGCACGCCTGAAATCAGACCAGTGCAGCCTTTAGGCCGGCGCCAGCAACCACCGTAGCACAGCCTGACCACGCGTAGCCGCTGTGTGTGCCGATCGCAGCTGTAGCAAGCTAAAGAAACCTTTCATAGACGGAGCCAATTGAGAGCACCAGTTGGGAGTGCTTAATAAATACACATACCATGTGTGGCTGTAATGCCAACAGCCGCTAAGAGTAGGAGCATTCATCTTCAACTGTTTTTTGAGTTTGCGGGGTTAAAAGCCTATGGATGGGAATTGGAAGCTCTTGTTCTTTTTTGTTCTCTTTTTCTTTTATGTGTGTGTGGTTGGGGGAGTGCTATTTTTCTTCCAGAGCTGCTTCATTGGGAAATTGATCTATGGATAGATTATAGAGCAGCCTTTGCCAATCCAGCTGGGGTGGAAGGCAGCAGGTTGGCAAAGGCTCTTCTAGAGACATCTGATCTGGTGTATAGAAGTTGCAGAATGTCTCAGATGCCTGTCCTGGTTCTTCTTTTAGCGGACGGGAGTAGTACGTTCAAACAGCATCGCCGGACACCCTCCTCTTCCAGCACTCTCACCTATTCCCCTCGCGACGAGGACGATGGCATGGTATGTTCTTTGGCATGAAGGGTCACTTGCAGCTGGGAGAGGAATGGGGTTAGTGCTGTGGGAGGTGGCTTTGCCAAGCTGCTATCATGGACTCTGCAGTTCCCATATTTATGTTTTCAAGTCCCAGTTTCTGGTTACCTGCTTTTGTTCCCTTCACTTCAACACCACTAGAAGGTGCCCCTCTGCACATCAGTTCTATGCTGTGTGAAATGGAATGTAGGTACATAAGCCCAACACTGTGATCCATTGGATTGTGCCACCCACAGACCTCCTAACTGTGTTCATGTCTGTCTGCTTCCATGGACCTTGAGCAGAAGGCTTCCATGGTAGCGAATGTATTTGCAGCTGTCAGGGTCCAGACCTCGCCTGTGCTGTTATGGTTTCTTACCTGCAGTTTTCCAACAAATACATGTCTGCTGACTGGCTTCGGACTATGGTCTCAGCCTAGCCTACTTCAGGGCTGCTGGAAGAATAAATGAGAGTATTTGGCTTCAGCCAGACATCAGTTGTGTAGTACAGAGCAATATGTTAAGTATTCTCATGTGTGTACACACAGAGAGTGCACACTTAGGCTTGCCTGGTCACAATGCTGCAGTAACAGTAGAAAGCACAAGCCCCGCAAACCCCCCCCCCCCAAATCAAGCTGTAGGCCTAGCATCCCTCCAGATTGGATTGCTGAAACATGAAGCTGCCCTTTGTCTGGAAATGTTAATTGGTGTGGAAAGCTGCTGTTGTCTGGGGTATGGTGGTTTGAATACTTTACCTTAGTGTTCCATCAGCACTGGTTATCTCTTCATTTCTGGGCCAAGTTTAAGGTGTTGCTTCTTACCTTTGTGCTGACAGCTGGCTTTTCTTGTTCTGTTGTGCCCTTTTCTGCTGCTTCTACCCCAACCCCTCGTTTATATGGACATTTGCTTTGCAGATTTGTGTAGCTGTTTCCATTTTTATTTTGATGTAGACAGGGTTTTATCATGACCTAATCTGATTTTGGGCAACGTATGTCACTCTGGTTTCTGTTGAAGAAGCATGGGGTTTGAAAGCCTTTACATTAAACAATAATTCCCATCAGTGCTCTACATATTGAACCACTGTATCATAGAGGCACTGTGGGCCGAGCATCCCTGCTTCAAATCTTTCATCAGCCCAGCAAGATCGCTTGGTAATCATCAGCCAAGTGCTGTGACTCTCTCAGTTTCCATCTGCAATAACTATTGTGATGGCTACTGGCTTGCTATACTTATTTTAAGGCACTTATATTCCACCCTTCATAATATTTGTCCCAACGCTATTTATGCTGCACTTAAAAACACACACCAAACACAACAATATACTATGCACTGGCTGAATTAAAATCAATAAACAAGTAGCACACTTAAATAGCCATTAAAACCATAGAGAGAGAAGCAGAGCTTAAAATACAGCTTCTTTCCAATGTTAAAAGTACAAACCATTGAAAACATCTTCCCCAACAGCCTAAAAGTTAACATGGTGTATCTTAGGTGGGTCCCCATGAGTAAGTGAGTTCCATAATCAGGGTGCCCTGTATGAGAAAGCCCACCCTTTGTGGCCACCCACTTGACCTCTGAGAAGGCTCTCATGGAAAGATCTTGAGGTTTGGGCAGGGTTAGTATGGGAAGAGGTAGCCCTTTTATGCTACCTGGTAGTATGAATTTCATTGTATAAATCTGTTTCATTTTGTTTAAATTACAGTGTATTCCACATCCATCAATCAGGGTGGTTTTATGATCAAATATTAACATATTTAATAACAACTAATAAAAATAAACTAATAGCAATTTTCTTAAAGCAGCATAAAAGTAATAGATGGATCAACAAAAGCTAAATGCCCAGGAAAATGACAACGTCTTGGCTGCATGATGTAAAGAAACTGGAGAAGGTGTCTGGGGAGAGTGTTACAAAGCCAAGGCATCACCCCTGAAAAGGCCCTTTCTCTTGGAGCCACCCACCATACTTCAGATCAGCCTTCCCTGGCCAGCCGCCCTCCAGATGTTTTAGATTTTAACTCCCATCAGCCCCAGCCAGCATGACCAGTGGTCAGGAATGATGGAAGCAGTACCCAAAACATCTGGGGGTGCCAGGCTGGGAAAGGCTTCAGACAGCAGGCGAACCCAGAGACTGGCCTCTGGAGATGGTCTCCTAAATACAGGCAGGCACATAATCGGAGACAGACGGGGGTTTTTTGCTTTTTTATGTGATGGTGACTTATACGTATGCCTGTAAATAAAAATAAAGTAATGGAAAAAATTGTATTATTGTAATAACCTGCAGCTTTATAAGAGTATATATTTAAAGTAGATGAATAAGTGAGCAAATTAAGTTAATTTGGATATGCAGAAGATATTAAAAAATAAATTTAAGGAACTGCAGAAAGAGGGGGAAAGAAGTCAGGTTTTGAAATGTTAAAATGATTGTAAAATTAGTGAAATGTATAAACCTGAAAAGCATAAACATTTTTTTAAAAAGAGTAATGACTGGTTCCAGTTAGCAGAGTTCAGGCATTTTTCTGAACTGCATATTCCCAAGCTTCAGTAGAATAACCTGAAGGTTACCAGAGCATTACTGCTAAGTAATAATATTTGTTGATGAAACAGTCATAAGAGCTGTGCCCTGACTTGTGATATCCGTCTTACTCATGGTCTGGATTTCCTTTTGAGGCTTGTATAATACAACCTGCTGGTTGCTTAGTCTGAGAAGTATTGGGGAAGATTTCTAACTTGGTGACAGAATGTCTGCTTGCATGCAGAAGGTCCCAGGTTCAATTTCCATCATTTCTAGGTAGGGCTGGGAATTTCCCCCCTGCCTGAAACTCTGGAGAACTGCTGCCAGTCTGTGTAAACAACACTAGGTCAGCAAGACCACAATGGTTTGATTTCTGGGGAAGACCCATGGCTCAGTGGTAGAACACCTGCTTTGCATGCAGAAGGTGGTAGGATCAATCCCCGATGGCATCTCTAGATAGGGCTGGGAAAGACTGCCAGTCAGTTTAGGCAACACTGACTAGATGGACCAGTTGATTCAACTCGCTATAAAGCAGCTTCCTGTGTTTATTCTATTTGGATTTTCTGTAGTCACACTTGGCTCCTTGGCTTTTAACCATTGCCATTTAACTGCCAAATCAGTTCAAATGACAGTGTCTTCTGAAACCCCCAAAGCAACCCACCCAGCCCCCCTACTCAAGAGATCCTCTCTGGTGCTGCTTTGAGGAATGCTGTGTTAGAAATCTGAGGGGCGTGTGGTTCCACTGGCAGAACATCCCTTCCTGAGCCAGTCCCAGAAAACTTGCAGCCAGAACGAGGCTGGCGATTGGTGGGCTTTCTGCCCAGCTGGCTCTCCCGCCAAACAGGAAAGCCACAAAGCAGAACCCGGACTGAATTGAATAGGAGGAAGTCTCCAACCATCTACGCAAAGAAATTTGGCAGAAGTGAAAGAGGCAGCCTAACAACAAGTGCTCTTAGGAACAGCAGCACCCATGAGAGAAGCATGTTACCCTTTGGGTAAAGGATCCTAGCCGGGAACTGGCGCTTCTGGAAGGAAGCCCAGCCAAGCACCCAGAAGTTCCATGCCAGGAAGGTGAGCCGATATGCAGAAACATCAAATATTGAAACAGAAGTAGGCACTTTCCAGGAGCTGTTTCACACTTGTCTGAGGTTTGTCTAGCTTGAGTTTGCAGTTTAACATTTCTTTTGAAAGAAGCAGGTTTTCTGCAAGTCATTTAGCTTGCATAAAATGAAAATGAGATGATTTACAGAGGGCAGGCGTGTGTATATGTATTTTCAGGTGAGGTATTAAAAGAAACAGCTCTGCAGACTAAATAAAATCTGTTCTGTCTCCTCCTGCCTTTGTCGCATTGCTGAGGCCCAAATTCACCCAGATATCACTAAATTTTAAGTAGCTGCAGGGTTTTTATTGTTGCTCCTAAAATCTGAACAACTTGTAGTTGTTACAAAAATGGTGCTGTAGGGTTCCTTCTGTTCGCTTAGAGCATTAGTTGGCATTCTGCAGACCATCTTTTACTACCAGAATCAGAGGAACCACCCATTGAAATGGAAGCTCAGTTTCAGTTCAGCACAAGATATGTGGATTTTGCAGAAAAGCCACAAAAATTCAGCTTCCTGCAAATCTCGGTATTGGAGTAGAGATGAGACCTTTGAAAAAGGCAGTTGCTGAGCCCTTTATGATTGCTTGAAAATCTTCTGCAATACCTGGTGAAATCTGAGGAGGCAGAAAATATTTGCAGTGTCTAGAAGATGCTGACCCTCCCTGTGAACGATGGAAGCAGAATAAATTTGCTGCATAGTAAAAAATGCAGAATAGAATGCAAAAACAAGAGAGATGCAGGCTTGCTTAATTTCCATAACTTAGAAAGGTTGCAGAATCCAGCTTTGATTGGCATAGAATGTTGATATGAATTTAGTCCAAAGAACACACAGCCCACACTTACGTGTGTAAGCAAGAGTTTTCTGGGATCTCCCACAGTGCCCAAACCCCAGACCAACTGCTAAGCATGGCAGAGCCCTGCTCTGTGTTTTGTCACATGTGACTCTAAATTGCTGTCCTTTTTTCTCTCTCTCTCTGCAGCCACCAATCAGCACTCCACGCCGGTCTGACTCTGCCATCTCCATCCGCTCGTTGCATTCAGAGTCCAACATGTCCCTGCGCTCAACTTTCTCTCTCCATGAGGAAGAGGAAGAGCCAGTAGGTATTTGGGGGTTGTTGGCGGTGGTGGTGGTGAGAGTTTTCCATAAAAAGATGCAGAGGAAAGAGCCCAAGGGCTTTTATAAACTGCCAAACAGAGGAAAGGCGTGTAATGTGGCAGCCATGACCCAAGTAATTGGTGGCCAAGGAAGATAAATAGCAATGCTGTGTAAATTTATCAGGTGATTGGTAACTGAAACAAGGTTGGTTAGCCTGCTTCCAGCTCAACCTACGAAATGCAAATCTCTACCACAGCCTTGCTGCAGGAAGAATTTTCCTAAGATCCAGACTTTGGACCTGTATAGAGTTCAGAACTGTGACCATGCTGTAAAAATTATTCACACACAAAAATGCACAAACCAGATCCGGGACCTTTGTAGTATCTTAATTGCATTTTAACCCATTTATCTCTTGTTGGCTGTAGTCACAAGCAGCAAAAGGTTTGTTTAGATGTGCAAATGTAAACCTTTAGTCCTATTTTCAGGTTGATTTAAACTAGTGGTTCCCAAAGGGGGTGATACCACCCCCTTGGGGGTGGGAGTGCTAATGGGATTAACTAGGGGGCACTAAGGGCTGCAGGGAGCGGTGCTAGAGGTATAAATGCTGGTATTGGAAAGCTGGTATTACTGGAGCAAGTTAATTTTGTTGAATTATATAAGCTAAATAGTCCTGATGGGATTTTGAATAAATGTGCAATTAATTGTTACAGTTTTGAATTTTATTGTGTTTCTGTCTTTAGTGGGCTGTGCAAACCGCTGTTCTGAAAAATACTTTTAATAGGGTAGAGTGGGGGGCACTGTGGATGGGTTTATGCAATCAAGGGGCTCGTGGCCTGAAAAGGTTTGGGAAGCACTGATTTAAACCCTTTGCAAAGCCTGAGCTTGGACTTAGTTTTCTGCTTGCCAATTGTTCTTGGCTCTTGCACTCTGCAACCTCACCACTTGTACTACGGAAGGTTGCTGAATCTGAACAAAAAGGGTGAAAGCTTCCCTTGTTTACCTTTGTTTTCTGGTTGTTCTCCCTGCTCAGGAGCCGCTGGTGTTTGCTGAGCAGCCCTCAGTGAAGCTCTGCTGCCAGCTGTGTTGCAGTGTGTTTAAAGATCCAGTAATCACGACCTGTGGGGTAAGGACAGGAACCAGGCTGCAGTTTCAGCTGCACAGAAGAAGAATACATTTTTTTAAAACGCTACAAATGCTAGGAATCCTTTTCTTCCTCCCCCCACCCCCGACCGATAAATAATGACTTCTCTTAAGAGAACAGATTTATAGCGATGGAAAGGAAGAGGAAAATTGTCATCTTTTTCAGCCTGGAATGTTATTGTCTCACGAGTGATGAAAATAATTTTTAAAACACTAGCATGTTGTAGCTTTGTTGCTTTACACATATTTCATGTTGTACAATTATGTTGAGTTTTTGCATATTTAGTCTCGCCAGCTTTTTTCTTTCCAATTTATTTGTTTATAAAAAAATATTTGTATACTGCTGCAGCATTAAAAAATATCAAAGTGGTTTGCACAATGAAAATAGAAAAAACCATAATATAAAACCATTTTAAAAGTTAAGAACTGGCATTAGCCGTTGTGGAAGGATATATTCTTAATTGCCTGCATAGCCTTTGCAGAATAGAAAAGGTTTCAGCTGGCACAGAAGGTGCCTTCTGGATCTCTATTGGTGGAAAGTTCCACAGGACTGGGCCACTAAATGACACTATTAAGGCTCAGTTGCTTGGTTGAACCTTTTTAAAACAACAACAACCCTGTGTTGTGTTACAGGCAGATAGCAAGTATATAGCTTTTTTAAAAGAAAGAAAAAGAAAGAAAGGTGGCAATTGAGGGATTGGGGATCAAGTGTCTGTCAGCAGAACCTCATTACCTCAAGGAAGATGACTCAACCATTATCAGCCTTTCTAGCTTCGTGGAATATCCATATTTTGAAAATCCTGCCTGCAATCCTGGAGAGCCATTGCCAGTATGTATAGACAATTCTGGGCTAGGCGGACCCAAAGGTGTGACTCAGATCTTAAGGACTGTGCTCCTAGGACTAGATGGAGATTTTGCCTGATCTGGAAAAGTGATTCTTAATGGTCATGCACTCTCTTTCTTCACAGCACACATTTTGCAGAAGATGTGCCTTAACCTCTGGTAAGTGCTCAAAGACATTATTTTGCAATTATTTCGCAGCTGTCTTTTCAGCGGGGGTGGGGCGGATGTGTGTTTCTTCCTCTTTTGCTTTCTTCTGAGAAATGCAACTTGTGCTTGTATGTCTGCAGCTCTCTTCACCCCTCTGAAAATTCTCTGCCTCCCCTAAAACACAAATGGTCTGGTCCTGCTTTGCTGATAGATTGTCCTGTTAGCTCTCATTGAAAAGTAGCTTCTTGATTTCATCAGAGCCCCTGTGCTGGTGCTGGGCCACTAGGCTCCAGTCAGTCTTATGTTTTTTTTTTAAAAAAAAAGAGTTTATGGTAGAAGAAAACCCCTGTCAAAGATGCATAACCAACCATTATTTGCTGATGCTCTATTGATGTTGTTAATTATATTTTAATGAATATTTATGGGTTGATTTTATTGTATTTTGTTTGTTACTTGATATCCTTAATGAAAGTGTTGGTTATAAAGATTTCAGTAAATAAGCAAAATCAACCAGCTCTTATACAGTCAAACCTCGGAACTCGAACGTAATCCGTTCCGGAAGACCGTTCCGAGGCGTGGCTTCCGATTGGTTGCAAGGGCTTCTTGCACTCAAGCGGAAGCCACGTCGGACATTTGAGTTCTGAGGAACATTTGAAAACTGGAACACTTGCTTCCAGATTTTTTGGCATTCAGGAACTGAAACGTTCAGCAATGGAGCCGTTCGAATTCCGAGGTTTGACTGCATACTGAAAAATTGCAAGGCACAAGCAATCTGCCTGTGTGGTTGCAGTTCTGCATCACCTCTACTCTCTCTTGCCATCTGAGAGCTTTGTAGTGGCTGTTTGTGAATCTACTTAAAGAACACAGACCACTGGTCTCTGCGACCGCTTGTGATTTGTTTTTTGTTTTTTTTAAATGAGCTGCAGAAATCCCCAATGCAGAACCGAGAGCAAACAGCTCTGCCTCCCTCCCTCTGAACAACTCAAAATCCAGCAAGTAATCAGGGGTGCTCTGAACAACACTGAAATGTGTAAAAATAATCCCAAGTAGCCACTGAAAGGAGATGAACTCTGCTGCCATTGTTATAATAATTATTATTGTCATCGCATTCTCCATTACCAAAATGCCCATCTTCATGGTGGTTGTGCGTGCGCCCTACTGCTGCAGAGCTGGGCAAGTTTCTCCTGCTTAGCAACCATTTTCCCATGTGCAGTGTTGTACCCTTCCTCAATAGGAGCAAATGGCAATCACTCACCCTTGTTTTAAGATGGTTTTGTTTAGCCCCATCAGTGAACATGGCACTTGTTGCAGATTAGGGAAAAAGCAGGTCCCTACCCCTAGGAGCTTACAGCCCCAGTTTTGACAGAAGAGGAAAGGGAGAGACCAGAGTCATGTGATAGATATGCACAGATGCAACTGCACAGGCTCAGGGTTTGCTTTGCTTAATGCTTGACCTATGTCAGTTGTATTAATTAAGCATATATTCATAACTACTTCTTGTCCAATAATGTGACATCTGGTGAATGCCAGCTTGCTTGTGCAATGGGGTTTCATGTTCTCCATCCTGTCCCGCCCCCCAAGAAAGGTTGGTGACACCCAGTGTGGTGTCTGAACTGACTGATCCTTACATGACGTTGTTGGGGCGTCTGTGTGTTTTCCTGCAGAGAAGTGCCCGGTGGACAACGCCAAACTGACTGTGGTGGTCAACAACATTGCTGTTGCTGAGCAAATTGGGGAGCTCTTCATTCACTGCAAGTACGGCTGCCGGCCCGCTGCAAGTGGCAAGCCTCCTGCCTTCGAGGTGGACCCTCACGGGTGCCCCTTCACCATTAAACTGAGTGCCAGAAAGTAAGTCCATGTGGAAATGTTTTCCCAAGGAAAACCTCTGCTTTATAACTTGTTCCCCATATGTTAAGGGGGGTTGTAGGGGTTATGCCTTCATGTTTATGGTGGGCGACCATCTGAACACCATCAGTTCTTCTACTGTGAAGTGGGTATTTCGTGGTGTCTACACCACAGCTTCTTAGATCTCCAGCTGTAAACCTGACCCCGAAAGGCTGGGGAAGGCTGCTTCATAGCCTGTTATACTAGAGCAGGGGTAGCCAATGCAGTGCCCTGGAGAAGTTGTATGACAACTCCCATCATCCCTGACTATTAGCTATGGTGGTTGAAACTGGTGGGAGTTGTGGTCCAAAACATCTGCAGGACGTTGCATCCTTTGCCGCTGAACTAGAGGATGAACAGTGTCATGTGAGAGCTTGAAAGGGCCCATTACCTTGCTGCACTGCTAGGGGGTGCTGTTTTGCAGGCATCTCAGTTGGTAAGGAACAGAGCAACCTTCGTCAACCTGGTGCCTTCCAGATGTTTTGGATTCGGAATGGCCATAGCTCAGTGGTAGAGTGTCTGCCTTGCAAGCAGAAGGTCCCAAGTTCAATCCCCGGCATCTCCAGGTAGGGTTGGGGGAGCCTACTGCCTGAAATCCTGGAGAGCTGCTGCCAGTCAGTGTAGACAATACTGAGCTAGATGAACCCAATGTTTTGACTCTGTATAAAGCAGCTTCCTATTACAACTCCCATCAGCCCCAGCATTATTTTGCTGCACTGTCTGGGACAGCTAAGACAGAGTCAGCTTTTGGGGGGTTAGGCTTGTTGTTGTTGTTTAGTCGTTTAGTCGTGTCCGACTCTTCGTGACCCCATGGACCAGAGCACGCCAGGCACTTCTGTCCTCCACTGCCTCCCTCAGTTTGGCCAAATTCATGCTGGTAGCTTCAAGAATACCATCCAACCATCTCATTCTCTGTCGTCCCCTTCTCCTTGTGCCCTCCATCTTTCCCAACATCAGGGTCTTTTCCAGGGAGTCTTCTCTTCTCATGAGGTGGCCAAAGTATTGGAGCCTCAGCTTCACGATCTGTCCTTCCAGTGAGCACTCAGGGCTGATTTCCTTAAGAATGGATACGTTTGATCTTCTTACAGTCCATGGGACTCTCAAGAGTCTCCTCCAGCACCATAATTCAAAAGCATCAATTCTTCGGCGATCAGCCTTCTTTATGGTCCAGCTCTCACTTCCATACATCACTACTGGGAAAACCATGGCTTTTACTATACGGACCTTTGTTGGCAAGGTGATGTCTCTGCTTTTTTAAGATGTTGTCTAGGTTTGCCATCGCCTTTCTCCCAAGGAGCAGGCGACTTTTAATTTCGTGACTGCTGTCACCATCTGCAGTGATCATGGAGCCCAAGAAAGTAAAATCTCTCACTGCCTCCATTTCTTCCCCTTCTATTTGCCAGGAGGTGATGGGCCCAGTGGCCATGATCTTAGTTTTTTTGATGTTGAGCTTCAGACCATATTTTGCGCTCTCCTCTTTCACCCTCATTAAAAGGTTCTTTAATTCCTCTTCACTTTCTGCCATCAAGGTTGTGTCATCTGCATATAGGCTTAGTTTATCCATATTCTCTCTTTCAGATAAACGAAAAGTTACTAAATTTCAGAACCTTCCCTGGTCTTTCCAAATGACAAGATCCACACACACACACACACCCTGCCATGTTCTAGCCTATCTTAAAAAAGTGCTACATGAGGAAGTTGCCACTGGTGCAGTGGCTGGAACGTGTCCCATATTCCAGCCCCCTTTCACTCATGAGAGTAGCTCAGGGACAGATGATTGTTTTCCTCCTGCTTGTTTGCTAATAATGCGCCATCTTCTTCATCCAGGGACCATGAAAGCAGCTGTGATTACAGGCCGGTTCGCTGCCCCAACAACCCCAGCTGCCCGCCACTTCTCAAGATGAACCTGGAAGCGCACCTCAAGGAGTGTGAGCACATCAAGTGCCCCCATTCCAAATATGGGTAAGCAGAGGGGCAGAATCCTGAAGATTTAAGCAGGGACCTGCTTGGAACACCTTTTATTCTCTTCTTGTTGTTGTTGTGATGATCTTTTGGGTAAGTGGGAAGGTTGTTTTGTTAAGTATGCTATTTGGACGATCACTTTCCAAGTTTCGATTTTGATTCTTACAAAATGTAATTATATAAGCCACTTTGGGGCTGTTCCTTTGTAAAATGACTCATGAATGACGACAACAACAACAACAACAACAACAATGCTAATGCCAAAGATCAATCCTCAAGCTCTTCCCCATAATGCTCAGCTCCATCCTTCCCCAGCCTGGTGCCCTGCAGATGTTTTGGCCCACAACTTTCATCGGTCCCATCCGGGATGCAATCCAAAACATCTAGAGGACCACTAGGGTGGTGAAGGCCACTATAACTACTCCTTTCCTTTAGGTCAGAGGTCAGGAACCTTGGGCCTAGCAACTGAATGCAACCCTGGGGGCCTTTCTCTAGCTGGTAAATGGTACTCCCCCAGGCAGTACCCATCAATGCTCTCTCTACACCCTCCTCAAGTGCCTTTGCCTGCCAGGAATGTGTCTTTGAATTGTGTTAATGCCTCTTGCTTGTCTGGATGGAGAGGTGTGTGTGAGTCATTGAAGAAACCTCTGACTTTTGCATGGTTGGAATGGAGCCTACATGTAAAGGTAATAAGTAGCCCATACACTTTTGTTCTGCTCACTTGTTGCCTCTGGCTCTGCTCACCACCAGCATGTGACCTGCCACCTCCCAATGGTTGCTTTCGGCAGGGGAAATGCAGCCCTCAGGCTGAAAGAAGTCCCTCCATCCCTGCTGTAGGTGTACATTCATAGGAAACCAAGACACATACGAGACCCACTTGGAAATGTGCAAGTTTGAGGGCCTGAAGGAGTTCCTCCAGCAGACAGACGATCGCTTCCACGAGATGCAGGTGGCCATGGCACAGAAGGATCAGGAGATTGCTTTTCTACGCTCCATGCTGGGCAAGCTCTCGGAGAAGATCGACCAGCTGGAGAAGAACCTGGAGCTGAAGTTTGGTAGGTACCTTGTCTGATGTGGTGGAGGGAGTTGAGAGAAGCTTTGGGAGGGCATGAGCCAAATCTTCAAATGACCAAGATTGCCACTAGGCAGCCCTGAAGATCAGGACTCTCTTTTTAAGAGGATTGTCACCTCAAAAAGGTGTTTGGGACTTTTCACTTTAGAGAAAAGACAAGTAAGACATGACAGAAGTTTGTAAAATTACACACGGCATGGAGAAAGTGGATAGAGGAAAGTTTTTCATTCTCATAACACTAGAATTTGTTGGCATCCAATGAACCCAAATGTTGGATGCTTCAGGATAGAAAAAGAAAAGTTCTTCACACAGCACATAGTTAAAACTATGGAACTCACTCCTATTGGAGGCAGTGGTGGCTTTAAAAGAGGATTATGTAAATTCATGGAGGAGAAGACTACCAATGGCTACTAGCCACAATGGCTGTGATCTGGCTCCATGACCAGAGGCATTATGCTTCTGAATGCTAGTTGCTGGAAGCTGTAGGAGGGATGAGTGCTCTTGCGCTCAGGTCCTGCTTGAGGGCTTCCTTTAGGCACCTGGTGCAGTATAATATTTATGACCAGTAAGACTTAAAAGGACTGGGATTGGGGTGGCCTGCATGGGGTGGCCTGTACAGTTGGAAACATCAAGCAAAATTTTAATACATGTGTGTGTGCGCGCACCCACACACCTACACCTGAATTTGCTTTTAGAAATTACAAGCTCTTTTCTCCCAATTTTGTCACTCTTTAGATGTCCTGGATGAGAACCAGAGCAAGCTGAGTGAGGATCTGATGGAGTTCCGGAGAGACGCTTCCATGCTGAACGTGAGCATTGCTGCTTGTAATGCAGAGTCTCCAAGCTCAGAGAGCCCCTTGGGCATAGAGGCAGAGCAACCCCATGCAGTTCTGCCTCCCGCCTGGGTCTGAAGAGGGAGGTGGGGAGCTCTATGGGCTTGCCTCTGCCCCCCTGGGGCTCTCAGAGTGGCTGTTGAAGGCAAAGCAAAGTGACATCCCTCCAGCTGATGCAGCTTGTGTCTGCATTTTGGGCGATCTGAGCTTTGAGCACCTGTGGTGCACTGAGACAAAACAAGATGCTCTTCCCTTCCCTTCAGGTTGATTGTTAGTTGCGCGGGTTTATTTTCTGGCTCCCTCCCAACTCCAACAACGCCCTCCCCTGCTCTGTTTGAGACATAGGATGAAGTTTGGAAGAAGCCTGTACCCATTGGGGGAATGGGAGTCCTAGCAATGACAAATTTTTGATGGTCCGTAAGGCCAGCTAAAGTTTGTCAACCTCAAATGTATCATCTTGCTATCTTACCATTGGATGGCCTCACCACTTGAGAGTGATGGCGTCCCATACATTTCCGCTCTCGTGATTATGGCTGCTCTGGCCCTAACCTGCCTTAACTTGCTGTTTTAGGATGAGCTGTCCCACATCAATGCCCGACTGAACATGGGAATCTTGGGCTGTGAGTACCCTGGTCTTTCTTTCCCCAAGCACTGGCAGAATTTCTTTGTTTCTGGATTTTGAGGTTTTTCGCTGGTTGGTTGGTTTGTTGGTTTGCTTGCTTGATTCCAAACTGTGCAGATGCCCTGAGAATAACCTCCCATTGAATGAGGGCAAGGGTAGGTTGCAAATGCAAGGACATATTAGTAGGTTTAATTGGACCATCTTAAATCGAAGTAAGATTATGCCAGGCTTCCAATTTTACAAAAGTTTTCTAGGGAGGCCTGGAAATGGACCAAAACCTCAGGCTTATGGTGGAGCAGTTTGAACAAACACTGGTTGTCCATATGCAACCATACTCTAGCTTTAAAGAACACCAAAGGAAACACAATATTTGGTTTCCACTGAAGCAATAGTTGTATGTTGATAGTGCAACACTCATTGTTCTAAGAGGGCTGCTGGGCGGGATAGACCCACCATGGTCTGATCCTGCAGCCCTGTTCTTATGTAGGAATAGCTTCTCAGCACCCTCCCCAAAAAGCACTTCAGGGGGTTCTGCCTATAGAAAGCAGTGGCAGTGTAACTAGCTTCAGGTGTGTAAGTCAGTGCCTCCTAAGAGGACATTGATCCTTGGCAGGGGTCTTGCTCTCATGCTGCTGGTATTGCCTTCTTCTTCCTCTCCCCCTACAGCATACGACCCCCAGCAGATCTTCAAGTGCAAAGGCACTTTTGTTGGTCACCAGGGCCCTGTTTGGTGCCTGTGCGTCTATTCCATAGGGGACTTGCTCTTCAGCGGCTCTTCAGACAAGACGATTAAGGTAAGAGCTGCTTGTTTCTGAGCCTGCACTGAAGCCACAAGGAACCTCCAGTCTGCAAGGTTGAGGCAGTCTCAGTGGGGGGTTTTTCAAAAAAAAAAAAAAGTTTGCATGTTGCTATTCCTCAGGCGGTCATTTGCAGCAAGCTGTAGAATTAAGGAACTGAGCACCTCCTTTATTTATGAGGAGCAGGCAAAAGACTGAAAATTGAAATAACCTTTAACATTACAGTGGTACCTCAGTTTAAGAACAGCCCTGTTTACGAACTATTCGGTTTACGAACTCCACAAAACCGGAAGTAATGTCCGGTTTGCAAACTTTACCTCGGTCTAAGAACGGAATCTGAACGGTGGAAGGGCACCGGCAGCTGGAGGCCTCATTAGGGAAAGCATGCCTCGGTTTAAGAACGGTTTCAGTTTAAGAATGGACTTCCAGAACAGATTAAGTTCATAAACCGAGGTACCTCTGTATAGTAAACAGATGAAAATTATTATGCATTCTGAAAATTATTACTCCTCCTCCAGTCCTCCACAGTGCCAAGCAGACATAAAACACTTGTTTCCATTAAAAGAGCTGAGAAAAAGAGGGGTTGGGGTGGGGAACTAATATTCAGTGAATACTACATGACTTTAATCAGCCTCATTTTCTCAGTTTCCGCTTCATAATTGTCATAAACTACTAAAAATGGAAAGTTTGCCTGAATTTGAAACAAGCTTCCAAGTGTGGAGTCCTGGCTCTTTGGAGGGGAAAGGATACTGCGCTAGTCAGCCATGTCATTTTATCAGGGTACACCAGGGGTCAGTAAACATTTTCAGCAGGGGGCCGGTCCACTGCCCCTCAGACCTTGTGGGGGACTGGACTATATTTTTTTTTGGGGGGGGGAACAAATTCCTGTGCCCCACAAATAACCCAGAGATGCATTTTAAATAAAAGGACATGGGACATGTTCTACTCGTGTGAAAACACGCTGATTCCCGGACCATCTGTGGGCCAGATTTAGAAGGTGATTGGGCAGAATCCGGCCCCCGGGCCTTAGTTTGCCTACCCATGGGGTACACGTTTAGATCCAAGCAAGGACTTGGAAGGGAGGGTTGAGCACTTCTCAGAGCAGCTATGTGCTATAATCCTCTCCTTCTGGAATTACTTCTCAGTGGAAGTGCACTTGCAAAGCCTTCTGAGTATGAACCAAGGAAGGGCATGACAACAAAACCACCCATTTCTTCTGCCCTGCCCTTGGGCTCCCTGCTCCCTGCCAAATATCTGTCACAGTGAGAACTGCTAGGGATTGCATTTCTCTGTTTCTGGCTCCCTAGGAAAACCTGCCTATTCACTGACTTTCCTGGACTGGCTTATCTTGGCCTGAAAGTCGGGAAAGCAGGTGCTCAATAACAGGCAACCTGCTTCCTGCCTTCCCAGCTGTGGCATATCGGCTGACTTCCTGCCCTGGTTCCTGGTTGCTCTGGAGCCCAGTCACATGACTCCCCCCCTTCTGTTTCCTGTTAGGTGTGGGATACCTGTACCACATACAAGTGCCAAAAAACCTTGGAAGGCCACGATGGGATAGTCCTGGCTCTCTGCATCCAGGGGTGAGTCAGAGCGGCCACTCTTTCTTTTCTGCGGCTGCTTGTGTGCTGAATCCAAATAGGAGTCGTTCTCAAACCCAATATTTTCCTGATTGCAAAGAGGTTTTACAAGTGCTCTCGTAACATGGTATTTGCTGCTGCTCCCGTTATTCAGTTGGGTGAACTGAGCTTCTAGTGGTAACTCTGGAAATTTCCTTCAGGCAAATCCATCTCCCTTTATTCAGGGCTGTGTAGATTAAAATTCTCCAAGAAAGATTGAATTCTGTATGAATTGTGCCAATAGAGCAGCATTGCACATTTTTTGTTACTTTCCATAATTCTGGTTTTGCTATTGGGGGGGGGGCGGGTGTTCATAAGCTATGCAGGGCAGCTCCAACCCCTGATCTCTGGAAATCCTCATCATCCCCTCTCTAACTTCTGAGGCTTCAACAGCCACTTTCCTGCATCTTTTCACAGCCATGAGTGCTAGAAAGGTGCATATTTTTTATTATGAAAGTTAAGCTTCTCTGGAAGATAAAATTTCCAGCTGATCATTTGCATTGGGCATTTTATTCTGTACTCGAGGGGAATCCCATGCCTCTTAGCATAGGCTTGCCAATACAGTGGTGCCCCGCAAGACGAATGCCTCGCAAGACGGAAAAACCGCTAGACGAAAGGGTTTTCCGTTTTGAAGTTGCTTCGCAGGACGAATTCCCCTATGGGCTTGCTTCGCAAGACGAAAATACCTTGCGAGTCTTGAGATTTTTTTTTCGCTTTCCCCCCCCTTTATCTAATCTGCTAAGCCTTTAATAGCCTTTAATAGCCTTTTAGCAGCTAATCCCCTAAGCCTTTAAGACTTTAATAGCCGCTAAACCGCTAATAGCGCTAATAGCGCTAATCCGTCAATGGGCTTGCTTCGCAAGACGAAAAAACCGCTAGACGAAGACTCTCGCGGAACGGATTAATTTCGTCTTGCGAGGCACCACTGTAACATCATTAAAGTTAGTAGTCCACAAGATTTTACAGAGTTACCTACCCACACTTGCTTTTATCAATCACATCACTAGCAGCTTGAAGATAACAAACACCTCTCTGTCTCTCTTGAGCAAACCTCCCCTGCCTGATTGCTTGGAAGTGGTTGTTGCTCACCACGAGCACCCAGGCCAAACCAGCTGTGCTTTCTCTTCTTCGGACAGTTGTCTTAGTGCTCCCTAAAGGTCTTTGTTTCTCTTTTGCCCAGGAATAAGCTGTACAGTGGCTCTGCTGACTGCACCATCATTGTAAGTATCCAAGTCTGGGAAGGGCCTGGCTCTTGCTTTATTGAGGGTTGGGAGGGAGTCTGTGGAAAAAGCTCTTCCTCTCAGTGCTGTGGAGGGCATGGCCAGGAACAATTTTACATGCCCTGCCTTTTTGTAATCTTTGCAGGTCTGGGATATTCAAACCTTGCAGAAAGTTAACACTATCCGGGCCCATGACAACCCTGTCTGCACGCTGGTCTCATCACACAACATGCTTTTCAGTGGCTCCCTAAAAGCCATCAAGGTATAATTTAGGATTGGGTCCTCCAGCCAAAGAAGACCCCCAGACCATCCCTCCTTCTTTTCCCCCTCCTGGCTTCCAGGCCACCTTTCCTTAACCCTCATCCTCCACTTCTCAATTCTGACTTTTTATAAAAAAACTCTCTTCACTGTTGCTGATTCCTCCTCCAGTTACCCCATTCCCTCATCTAGCAGGCTGTACTAATTTCCCTCGCCCCATTCAACTTTACCACTCACAAAACCTGTGGTTGAGCAACAGAGAGATTCCCACTTCTTATATATTATAATACATTTATAGTCATACCTTGGATCTCAAACGGCTTAGTTGCCAAACATTTCGGCTCCCGGATGATTGAAAACCAGAAGTGAGTATTCCAGTTTTCAAACTTCTTTTGGAACCCTAATGTCCGACAAGGCTTCCACAGCTTCCAATTGGCTGTAGGAGCTTCCTGCAGCCAATCAGAAGCCGCGCTTTGGTTTCCGAACGTTTTGGAAGTCGGAAGGACTTCCGGAATGGATTCCATTCAACTTCCAAGGTACCACTGTGTATCCCACACTTCTGCTAAGGAGCTAAGAGAGATGTACATGGTTCTCTCCCACCACCCTTTATCCCCACAGAAACCCTGTGAAGTAGGTTAGATTGAGAGATGGTGACCCAAGGCCATTCTGTGAACTCTCAGTCCCTCTCTTCTAGCTTTCTCTCTCTCTCACACACAAGAGAGAGCGCTATTTGCAGTGTAACTAGAGCTATTTGCAGTGTGGTTGGCTTGTGAGATGCTATGCCGTAGCCTGTCCATAGACTGATCTATGGAGATGTGGTGGGAGGGTGGGCAGACGAGCAGAGACTAAAAACCAACCTTCTGCTCAAAGGTACGATTCTGCCTGTCCTTCTGGTCTCCAGGTCTGGGACATCGTGGGCACTGAGCTGAAGCTGAAGAAGGAGCTGACGGGCCTTAACCACTGGGTCCGTGCACTGGTGGCATCCCAGAATCACCTCTACAGTGGCTCCTACCAAACGATCAAGGTATGTGCACTCCCAGATTCCACACCCACCCATCCCATCCGCCCCAATATGCGCATAATTGTCTGCTGCCGTTTTTCTTTTCAACCCAGGCCCATCAATCTTCCCTCCCATCTTTTTCTGCCCTAGATCTGGGACATTCGGAACTTGGAGTGTGTACATGTCCTGCAGACGTCGGGTGGGAGCGTCTACTCTATCGCTGTCACCAACCACCACATTGTCTGCGGCACCTATGAGAATCTCATTCATGTAAGGGTGGCAGAGGCTTGGAGTCAGGGGTGCAAAGGTGCTGGGGTTTTGCATTCTACACAGGTGGGTGGTGGGACCCCCCCCCACACACTGTGGCCTCATCCATCCCTTTGTGGTGCCTGGCAAGCCAACACTGGCAGAACGAAAGCTCTGGCAGCGGGAGAGCTTTGCTGTGTCCATGCAGGTTTGGAGGGTAATCTAGGTCCTCGCTTCCTCCCGATTCCAGGTGTGGGACATTGAGTCCAAAGAGCAGGTGCGTACCCTGACGGGACATGTGGGCACCGTGTATGCCCTGGCGGTCATCTCCACGCCAGACCAAACCAAAGTCTTCAGCGCTTCCTATGACCGGTCATTGCGGGTAAGTGAGGCACTGCTAGCTGGGGCAGAGGGATGTGCTTTGGGGAGGAAACAGAGGCTGGCTATTATTATTATTATTACTACTACTATTACTACTACTACTACTGGTAACATTTGAATAGTGAGGGGCGTGGGTTGATCAGGTTAAACCAGCATTTTTCAAAACTGCCATTCAGGGGTGGAAGAGTGGGAGAGGCAATATGGCTGTTGGTGTCCAAGCAGTGTCTCCATGGTATGATTGGCAATTGGGAAATCCCAACCCTTTCACCAGGGTCACAACAGAGAGATAACTCCTTCTCACAGCACATAGTTAAACTATGGCGCTTGTTCCCACAGGAGGCAGTGATGGCCACAAACCTAGATTGCTTGAAAAGAGGGGTAGACAAATTCATGGAGTATAAGGCTCTTAGCCAGGATGGCTATGCTCTGCCTCCACAATTGGAGGCAGCAATGCTTCTGAATAGGGGAGAGGGCTCTTGTGCTTGAATCCTGCTTGTGGGTTTACCACAGGTATCTGGTTGGCCACTGCGAGAACAGGATGCTGGACTAGATGGGCCACCCACAGGATCTTCTTATGTCCGTACCCTGCTTGCAGAGTACAGTAGTCTGTTTTGGTTCTCATGGCCTGAATTTAAGCATGCTTCAAAAATCCTTGATGCTGATAGGAGGGAGTGGGTTGGGACAGAGCCTGATGGTGCTAGCCCGGAGCATTTTTGAAGCACTTCATTCCTGATAATAGCTTGTGTTCTGTGCCCAGGTATGGAGCATGGATAACATGATCTGCACTCAGACTCTGCTACGCCACCAGGGCAGCGTCACAGCACTGGCTGTCTCTCGGGGTCGCCTGTTTTCTGGTGCTGTTGACAGCACGGTTAAGGTAGGTCGCCGATGTGTTCAGGGGTGTGCGCAGCATTGAGCAGGAGGGAACAGCAGGCAGGTTGTTGAGCAGGTTTAGCTGTCGGAGCACTGCTACTCCCTGAACCCACCAGCGCCTTCACACCAGAGTTCCTTACACTGCAGATATGCATGTGGCAGAAAAGGTGGTGTGGGTCCATGAATGTGAGCCAGTGGCCTGTTGCAGAGCACCTTCCTTCAACATAGGCAAATGTAGAAAGTTATTGGCCAGAGTGAGAGGGCTTTTTCTGTTTCTTATCTGATTGAGCAGGGGGAAAACTTGGATCAAGCTATTCCAGGTGCCTATCTGTTTGCTGTGGTTTGCAGGGTTAAGAGCTTGCTGCAGCAACAGTGTACTGCTGAATCCTGTCTCCGTGGAGGTCTGATAGTCTAGCACAGCTTTCACAGCCTGTCTGTGCTGGCCTGTGGCTGAGAGGAGTTCTGCCCTAAAACATCTGGAAGAGACTAGATTAGAAGAGGCTGGTCTAGCATGCCTCTTCCCCATGCCCTATGAGTTGGGGTAGACTACTTGGACCACCCAATCCCCAAGCAGTTTGTGCTCTTTTGCTCATTTCTCAGCACTAGCCCAAGCAGATCTGATTTGTTATTTGCTTAGTTAGGCTGTATCTCTGATGTGTGTGTGAATTTTGCTAAGGGCCCAAGTCCTGGCTGTCCCTCTCCCTCTGTAACCTCGTTGGGCCCTCCCTCCAAGCACTTACCCATATGGTGAGTACCTTTAAGGCAGCCTTTGTCAACCTGGTGCCCCCCAAATGCTTGGGACTAAAACTCCCATCATCGCTGTGCTGACTGGGGCTCACGAGAGTTGTAGCCAAAACATCTGGAGGCCCCCAGGTTGGGGGAAGACTATTTAAGGGCAAGATTTCTGAAGCAGATTTGAGTTGGCAACTTTGTGGAATCAGCACATTCCCAGACAGCAGCCTTCCATGAGTTGTTGCAGAGTCCCGGAATGGTTTATTCTCATAAGCTAGTGATTGGTCAACCTTCTGCCTACTTGGCAGTGCAAAAACTCTTGCAGTTGTCATGCATACATCAGGGGCAGATATGGCTGGTGTGCAGACGTGAGATGGATGGGTCACAAGTTGTGTGGACCTCACTGGTAGATCTGCTGGTTTGAACCCCTGTGGGGTCTCTCACCTTGTGGGGCAAGTATTGTCTGAACCTCACCTTGCAGCAGATTGGCCCTCTCTTGCGCAGGCCCTACTGACTTTCCTTCCTGCCGCAGGTTTGGACATGCTAGTGGGTGCCACTGCCTGCTTGTGGACGGCAGACTACCAAATAATCCTCCGGCTCACACATGTCGTCCTGCTTCCTTGCACTCCAACGCCCCTCCCACTGTGCACTCCAGCCGTGAGCGAGCTTCACAACCCACGTACCTCAGCACTGCCACCCCTGACGCAGCAGGCCCTGTCCCAAGCAGGGCTTTTTGGAGATAAAGCTCGCAAGACCACATCACAGCGGCACCGTTTCTGATGGAACAAGTAGGGCACTGCAGCCTCAAGACAGCAGCGTTTGGGTGAAGTGGGATTAGATCGATGATCCAGGTGTGAGCACCCACAATGCACCTTTGCCAACAGCAGTGCCAGAGCCAAGGATTGGGGGTGACGGGGAGAAGACCCCTCTCTCTTCTGGCATTTAAATGTATCTGCTAAGCTCTTTCATTTGTGCCCACCGCCAATGATAAAGACCAGTTTTCCCCTCATGTAACCAGGTACGATTTTTATGTCTCAAAGATTCCCATCCCTCGCATCAGGTACCACAAGGCCATCCATTCACAGCATCATGTCATAACGGCACCAAGCCCCCCAATGGTTTAAAACAAAAACAGGGAGAGCCCACTGTTGTGTTTTTACTGACATTTTCTACTGTTTTTAAGATTGTGATATAGATTTGGATTATTTCTTCCTTGACAATAAAAATGGACCATTGTTTTAGGCCAGCATGAGTTATTGACCAGCTTGGAGCATCTTAGCAAAAGGAGTGTAACGTCTCTTTGATAGTTAACCTACCTTGCAGCCCCAGCTCGGGATCAGAGACAAGCGATTTCAAAGTTTACTAGCCCACCTACCTGCAGGTACTTCTGTCCCTCCTAGCTAGTGAATTTGACAATTTTGTTTCCCCACACAAGTATTGCAGAGAAATGGCAGAAGACTTGGATTTGCTTCTTTGAAGGTGTACATCATGCCACCAGCTGTCAAAGGTGGAATGCTTTAATAATAGCCAAGGGAATGTGCACTTTCGCCCTTGTCAAGAAACACTTGTGTTGATGCAAGAGCTAAAATGAAACCTCTTATCTCCGTATCTTTGCAGACTATGTACTGCACCAGGGAGAATAGCTTTGGCCTTTATGCTCTGTTTGTGAGCTTCCCACCAGCAGGGAAAATCTGGCCTCAGCAAGGTGAGAGAAGCAGAAAGGCTGGAATGCTCAGTAAGTAGACAGACGCTCACTGTCTCCTCCCTCCCACCCACCTTTTCACCATCAAATGTGTGAATCACAGAACTGCGAAGTTGGGAGGGATCCGAAACCCCTGCAATGACGGCACAGTGTGAAAGGGGCTAGCTCTGCAGACTGCTAAACACTTTCGTGCTTTGTTCCACTAGATAGGGCTACCAAGCATCTAAATCGCCAAGACCCACCTGTGTGACTGGCACTCAGCATCTATTCCCAGTTAAGTACAGTTCAGACTTTCCCCCCTTCCCTCCTTAGGCTGCAGCCAAAACAAGAGTTTCACAGGACCAGACAATTTGGACATTTATTAAGCACTGATGGCCATCAGTGCATCCACAGCGCCGCCTACCTGTCTATTGTAAAATTGCAGCATGAGCTGATCGCTCAGCACCATAGCGTCCTTGCATGCACCCAGCGGTTTAGCACCTCATGGAAAACTGCCTTTGGAGGTTGTTTCCCAATAAAAAATATTATTAGTGTTAACGTCATGTTATGTATAGTCATGGCAAGCGAGGAGGGCATCTTTCCCATGTTCTTAAGTATTCGTACCCAGACAACTTCTATTTTTTTCCTTTTTTCCTTTTTTTTTTTAAATAGGAGCAAATATTTTTTACAGCACCACAAAAGCCATCAAATATTATAATAATACAGGTGGGGATGCAAGAAGCAAGGAAAGGAGGCTGGCAGCGAGATGCATAGCTTTGACAGAAATGGGAAAAATACAATACAGTTTCCATAACTTAATAATAAAAATATATATAATATATATATAATATATATAATATGTATATATCCAGCATTAGAATCTTGGAATATTCTTTCTTTTCTTTTTTTAAGATACATTTTCTTTCTTTTTAATTTTTTTTTTTACAACAGGTATCTTCATGTTGTCGTTTTATTTATTTTTTTATTTATTTTAATGTAAGAAATTTCAAAGTTGTGCCAGACACATTTTGGAGATCAGCAAAGACAGAGCTATCTGTGCTTGAGAAAAGAAACGAGTGTCACCACTCAGACATAGACACCTGGATTTCAAATAAACAGAAACAAACAAACAAAAAATACCCACAGCGCCAGGGAACCATAGGTTATGATGTTCCAGACCAAAAAAAAAAAAAAAAAAAAGACAGTTCTAAAAAAACCAAAACTGGATTGACTCCCATTTGTACAATGATATACAGCTGTGCATACATTACCTACTTCCACACACATGCATTTAAACACGCACACGCATATACACACATGTGGCTGCTCACACACACACCCCAACTTAAAAACAGAAACGGCCGTACAGAAAAGAACACGCTGAGAGATGAGATTTAACAGAAATTCTGAAAACAAGGCACATCCTTTGATTTTTGTTTAAAACTGTAAAAATAAACATGGCAACCAAAAAATCCCATATAACAGAAACATAGTATTTTTGCACACTTTGAAACAAGATAAACTGTACCTTTTTAAAAAACATTGTGCTACTCTTAAATGATGTCACCACAAGACACACAGCTTATTATAAGTCTAATAGTCAAGCTAAACTCCAGTTCTTTCAATTTTATCTCTTAAAACTGTTTAATATACAGTTGATAATATTTTAAAATCTTTTTAATATATATTAAAGTCCTTTCATATTTTTTTTTTGTTAATTATCTCTGGGGGTGGGTGGGAAATCCATTCTTAAATAATTTCTTTCCAATAAATTAATACTTCTTTTATATAGCTTATTTTTCTCATCCCTTTATCACACGCCAAAGGGGACAGAAAATTCTTTTGCTTTTGTTTTCACATGTAAGAACATTCATAAACATGGCTGTTGTGAGAGGAGGAGAGACCCTCTACCAAAGCAATAATAAACTCAACAACAGAACACCACTCTGCTTTTTTTTCACTGGCCCTATGTAGCAAAAGCACAGGCATCAAAATCAAGTGGGTTTAAGAGGCTCGGTGGTCTTGCTTGGAAAAGTAGTCATGGTGCAGGACGGCTGGAAGGGGGTTCTCCTGAGTTGTTGATCTGACCTGATTGGTTGAGATTCGCGAGTGGACCATCCCTCAAGCCAAGGCGGGGCGCTGCCCCCCCTTTTCTTGTCTTACAGATTTTTTTAAAAATGAAATGAGCTGCAAGTAAAGAGGAGAACAAAGAGGAAAGAGAGAGAGAGACTGACACAGACATTAGAAATGGGTGAATGGTGAGGTGATATAAAAAAAGGATGACTTTGGACCTAAGAAGAGCCTCAGAGGCTCACAAAGTTTCATGCCCAAGGCATATAATGTCATCATTTGGCCTCGAAACTGCAGGGAGAACAATTCCCTGAGTAATTACTTGCTTAGGAAGAAGGGTCCCAGTGCTTTTGGTGTGAACAGAAGGGGGTTCCTTATCTTAAGAGGAAGCCTGAAGGCCCACAGCAACCAAAATCTCTGATCCAATGATAGTTTTTCTCTCTCCATCACTGCCAGATGATTTCTGGTGCTTATACAGCTATGGATCCAAAGGCAAGATGGAACACAAGGGAGCAACATTTAGAGAAAGATATGGCAATGGTGCAAGTGTTAGCAGCAATGAGGAAGAGAGCAGAACAGAATTAGGTGTCTGAACCACCGAAAGAGTCCAAAAACTTATAGGGGCAACATGAACTAAATGTAAACCTCGCTGCACGTTAAACAAAACCCCCAGAGATTACAGCACCGAGACTGAAGCTGCAGCCTTCTGCTGCAAGTGGCAATGAAGATACAGATTTTCGAGATGCCTTTTTGGACTTGTCTTGGTGAAAAATAGCTGTAGTCCTTGTGGTGGTTTTAAAAGGAAGAGTGCCCACAAGGGAAGGATGAAATGCAGCAGGCCAAAGACACTTAAAAGGCAGCCAGGGCTCAACAGTAGGAAATGCATTTCAACTGTTATAAACAATTGGGTCTGGGCAGAATGTCATTCCAAGGATCTCCAAAATCTCCTTCAATGGAAGACACTACAGGCCAGTCATCACAGCCAAACCAGTAATCTTGAAATACTTGCCAAAAGGTTTAGTTAAGTCATAATAATGCCCACTGCCAAGATAGCTTCCAGTCCAACAGGACAGAATAAAACTCGGGTTCATGCTTGCCCACTGCCATAAAGAATGCATGACAAGCTAGTCAACTTTGGTGCTGCGACACTCTCTGAAATGACCTCCACTTCCTGCCAGGCTACCACCACCACCACCACTTGGTTTCTTCTACTGGTAATTGATTCAAGTATCCAACCATCAAGATTAACATAAGACTGGATTCTCACAGGGGACAGTTTTACCTTGCCAAGAAATGCCCCAGGAAGGAAGAAGAGGAGTATTCCATTGCTGCTTTAAGAAGAGAAGATTGCAGCAGGAGAGTGGATAATCCATTATTGGAGATTCCAAGATTGTGCTTCTTTTTGAGAATGACACGGGACCATGATGTGGCAGCCGGGAAGATTAGAAGAACCTTGTGTGCCAGGTGTTAACAGCTGTGGACCAATCCAAAGGGAGCTGCTCTGCTACTCCCATGATGCTTTGAGCATTCAGAGACTGGCTCTCATTCCTTAACTCCCTGCAATGTACAAAGATCCCCACTGCAACCAACTGCAGAACAAGGGGACTTGCAGGGAGGTCACGACCAATTCAGTCTACATGCTACAAAACTTCTGGATAACCTTGCAGCCTTTGAGGCACCTAGAACCCAACCTTCTGTTGAGAGATCCTTCCCCATAAACTCCTACAATGCTGAGAGCCTCAACCTTGCAAGGGCCCTAAGCCAGAAAAGAACCAAGCAAGACATAATGTTGGGCACTGGCGGAACAGCTTCACCTTGCTGCTGCTGGTCCCTCTCCCAACACCCAACAGCTCTCAGGTTGGTTAGGATATTGCAAGAGTTGACACTAGACAGGTGGCGCAGACACTGACGCATTTTTCATAGTTGTACACACCAAAAGTTGCTGCGCCTTGGGTGGACCTTCCTGGGAGACTGCACTTGCTCAGGCCATACAGCACTGCAAGCCCAATAGAGCTGCCTCTGCAGGGGTCATCACCTCCATGTCAGGCCTCTCTTAGCTAGCAAGCCACCATCCTCAGCACTACAAGCTGTTGTGTGTCCACAATCTGCTGAGAATTGCAACCGAGATACAAGTTGAGAGTCAGAGGCTGAAATCACATCCCAGCTAACTATTGCAATTCACTCGCCTTGGCAGAACCAATTTGGATAGTTGGGGTGCAACCGTTATTGCATTTGGAACAACAGAAATGGAAGCGGCAGGGGAGTCCTCTTTTACCAAACTCCTGCTAGACTACAAAACTACCACTGGCCCCTGCTCAGTGCTGCTGCTTCTCCACCAAAAGCTCTGCAAGATCAATACATTATATTGCCCATGTCTGTTTACTGCCTCCTTAACTCTGCCCCACTTCCTGTTCCTCCCGGGAATAACCACTGTAGACAGTACTTAAGGAGGGCTGCATTGTCTAAATCAACAACAAACTCTTTGGAAACAAGTGCCTTGAAGTGTGAGAGAGCGCAACCAAAGTCTCTCATGCTCATAACCCCAGCTGCCCTAAGGATAGAGAGAGATATGTATATCTTTAAAAGAAAAAATCGGGAATAAATATTCATTTATGGCAGCTCCTGAAGCCACCAGGGATATATTTACAGGGTATTTTTGGCCAGGATTTTTTGTTTTCCTTTTTCCCCATTTCCCCTTTTTATGTTTCAACACTGTATCAGTCATGCAAATGTACCAAAGCTTTTGCACGGCCCTTGCCAGGAACAATACTTTTTTTTTCAAGGCAAACAAACAGAAGAAGAAAAAGGAGCTTATTTCTCAAATGGGACTCGTTTAACGGAACAGAACTTCTTACAGTCACAGCTTCATTATCACCAGGAGAAGACAAACACCTTTCGGGACAAAGAAACGAAGCATGCAGCTAGCCGAAGGCCTCCTCGACTCAACGGCTTCCCTTGGGCATTCTCCTGCCCCGCCTTTTCCAGCGCTTCCCAATAAGTGCAGATGGGCACAGGAACCGAGACAGCAGCACAGGAGAGAGAGGACAGCGGTGCTCAGTCAAGGAACAATACCAACACGGAAGGCAAGAAGAGTTTCACTAAGACGAGATTCCACCCCAAACAGAAAACATGAAGAACCAGAGAAGACTCCATAGTTATTTGTGCCACATTTTGATAACACACTGGGGTACTGTAGCGACTGGGGATTGGTTGGTTGGGAGAAGGGGGTGAGGGCAGGAAATACTTTCCAAATTAAACGAGGAGACTCAAATTTAACCGAGTGGAGTAGATTTGCCTGAAGATAGTCTTGCAGGTAACAGAAGTTCCTGCCCCAGGCATACGGCTTTTTGCTTCATTCTTAGGAGGAGAATTGAAGTCACCTTGTATCCCCCAAAGTAAACAGGTGTTAAGGAAGGAAGGGGGAAAATAACAGCGCAAGAGCGGCGGCTCTTTCCTTTTCTTTGCCGCTTCCACAAAACTGGTCTCCAAGCCCCAAGAAAGCCTTCCCCAAGCATCTGGGTTTGTTTCAGCACAATCCTGAGGTAACCTTATCTTTGTGCAAACCTCAAAAGATGGAAGGGGAGGAAGGGAAGATCTTCATGGAGATGATTGTGCCCTTGTGCCCATGGCAGATCCTGAGGTTGGCTGTGATTGCTTCCCAGCTCTCATTCCAACATGGCATCCAGTTGGTCCGCAAGGTCGTCAAACATGCTGCCAATGTCATCGAGAATGCTGACTGTGCTCTTAGATTCTGCGGTGGAACTGAGGGCAAAGGACACCAGCGCGAGTTAGGAGAGCACAAGGAAGACCCTCTTTTCTCACTACACAACTTTCTACATTCTCCCATGCCTACTAGCTTTCAATAGCCCTCTCCTCCATGAATTTGTCCAATCCTCTTAAACTTGGCGGCCATCACTGCTCCCTGTGGGAGCGAATTCTAAAGTTACAACTGCACTTTGTGACAAAGGACTTCCCTTTGTCTCTCCTGAATCTTCCAACATTCATCTTCATTTGATGTCTAGAACTCACAGATATCCAGTGAAACTGAATGTTGGGAGATTCAGGAGAGACAAAAGAAAGCGTTGTGAGAGAGGCAGAAAAACTGTTCTCCATCAATTTTTTTGATGCCATACATCATTTTATAAACTTACATCACGTCACATGGACTGATCAATTAACATACAGTACTTTGTCTTCCATCCACTTAAAATAAAATTATCGTTATTATTATTCATTCATTCATTCATATGCCACCCATTTCATTGGATTGCCCCAACCACTCTGGGCAGCTTCCAACAAATTAAAACACAACAAGACATCAAACATTAAAAACTTCCCTATACAGGGAAGTATACCAAAGAAAGAAAACCAAAGCTGCTTTTTCTGAGTCTCTTTAATGGAAGTAGATCACTCACGAGGGCTAGCTAGCCACCCTTCCCTGACTCCCACCTAGTACCTCTATTCCAGCAGCCTTTTTCTCTTACATGCCCTGGCTCTTCACTTTTGTTTTGCTCCCATCCCTCCATCACCACCACCATTCCCCACTCGCCCAGCCCAGTAAAGGCCCTTACTCTGCTGCTTGCCCATCCTCTTGCTTGATCTTTTCCTCCACGGCTTGCAGAGCGGCAGCCAGGGAGGCGCTGGTCTCCTCCAGCTTCTGGTGCACGCTCTCCGTGCTGACGATCTCTACCGAGGGCCCAGCCATGGAAGAGCGGGGAGGCTTGACTGGCACTGTCTGAGGGGGGGCCCCGCCGGGAGATAATGGCTTAGCCGGGCTGGAGCACAGTGAGGGAGGCGTGCTCGAAGGCTTGATGGTGGGCGCCAGCTGCTTGGCAGGCGACGGCGCAGGCGTGGAACTGGCACTCGCCGACTGCAGGGCAGCGTGGACCTTAGGCTTGGGCGCCGTCGGGGGTGGTGTGGGCTTAGGAGAGATGGGCGGCGGTGGGGTGCCGTGGACACGCTTCACCTCTGCGAGAGAAGAGAAAAAGAGTTGCTTCTTCGCCACTTCCTTACATGCAATTTGCCCTTTTCACAGCTGCTACACACTTGGGTCAACGTCCATTAATTTCAGTGAGTTTAATCTGAGTAAGCACTAACATTGGATACAACTCCCTGACTCTCTAAGGCAGGGTCCTGAGGACTCTTGATCTCTTTCAAGGCTTGAGAACATAATGAGAGCCAAAGGCCAATTCAGGTCAGCATCGTCTTCTCACTGTGGCTGGCAACAGTTCTTACTTTTGCAAGTTTCCGGCAACTGGCATTCAGAAGCATACAGTTGTACCTTGGAAGTTGAATGGAATCTGTTCTGGAAGTCCATTCAACTTCCAAAACGTTCAGAAACCAAAGTGTGGCTTCTGATTGGCTGTAGGAAGCTCCTGCAGCCAATCGAAAGCTGTGGAAGCCACGCCGGATGTTCGGCTTCCGAAAATAGTTTGAAAACCGGAACACTCACTTCCGGTTTTCGATCGTTTGGGAGCTGAAACATATGTGTTCCAAGGCATTCAGCAACCAAGGTGCGACTGTACTGACTTCAACCATGGATGTACCACCATAGTGATCAGGGTTAGTAGACTTCGACAGCACTATATCTCAATCAATTTGTCTATTCTTCTTTTAAAGCCAACTAAGTTGCTAGTCCTCCATACATCTTATGGCAGTGATCTCTGGAAGGCAGGAAACTCGTAAGAAGAGCTGTGAAGCTGGATCAGGCCAAAGGGGTCCCATCTAGCCCAGTAACTTGTTCTCACAGTGGCCAACCAGGTGCCCCAAAGGGGAGGACCTGAGTACCACAGCATTCTGCCTGCTTGTGATTCTCCAAGGTTAGATGGCCATCTCTTCTGCAGTTCCGATTCCTGCACTGTAGGGAGTTGGGGAAGGTGGCCCTTGCGGTCCTTTCCAACTCTACAATTCTGTGATTTCCATAAACTGGTATTCATAAGATTGCCCACTCTGACAGCTGGAAGCAGAGTATAGCCACTATGGCTAGTAGTGACTTATTCCATCATTAATATTCTGTCTTTACCACATCAGCAAAGTATTTGCCGTCTAAGACAATAAAATTGTGCATCCTCTCCTGCATTCAGTCACCTCAGATAGCCTCAAACCAAGCTCCCTCCATCCCAGCCTGCTGACCCCAGACACCTGCCACTTCCCTGCCTCGGCACAGATATCCATGAGAATATGGTTACACCAACCGCAGCCATAGCCACTGAAAGCAGCTTGGCGGGAGTGAAAAGGGCAATGGGAAGAAGAAGAGAAGTAGTGAGCGGGTCAGGAAGGCTCCCTGTTGAGGGAGAAGATAGGTTGCGGTTTCTCCCCCCCCCCCCCCATGGCAGGGCACACCTACCTGGACTGCCAGGGCCAGGAATCGGGACCTTTTTGGAAGTGGGCGTAGGAGGCCCAGAGACTTTCTGGGGAAGGACCGGCTTGGGCGAAACCGGCGGCTTGACGGGCCTCTTGGGTTCGCCTTCCGGAGGGAGCTGGGCTGAGGTATTGTCACATTTCTCCTGCTGATCAGTGAGGGCTGTGGCCTCGGCGCCGCTCATCTCGGAGGCCGGCCGGCGCTTGATGGTGGCAGTGCCGTTCTGGTAGATAGACAGCGGCGCCAGTTCATGCTCCTTGTCTTTAGACTTTGGCCGCCTCTTGACCGTGTCCGACTCGGTCAGGATAAACTTGACGCTGTCCTGTTGGCTCTGCTTTGCACGGATCCTCCTCTTGAGAGTGGCACTGGCCTCCACCTTGGAGAGGTCCCCGTGCCGGTGGGCCAGCGACAAGCCCTCTCCACCTTCAGCCTTGGCGACCCCCATTTGCCGGGGCCGCTGCTTGATCGTCAGGTTGCCCTCCTCGGCAAAGGGAATGTTCTCGCCAGAGCTGTTCTGCGGGGAGCCTCCGCCGTGCTCCACCCGCAGCCGCTCCACGGGGCCGCCATCTTTGCCCGTTTCCGACTTGATGCTGTCGGAACGCTCACGGCGAGCTGCGGCAACCAGCCCCGTCACGGGGCCACTGATGGTGCGCCGGCGGTTCACCACTTCGCCATCCGGCCCAATGGCATCCTTGTGCTTGACAGTGGCCAGGACGGTGGCAACGCGGGAGTGCTCTGGGCTGGCTGGGTGCACCGCGACGCCGGGTTGCAAGTAGTAGCCGTCGGGACCCTTCCCAGCTCCGGGCGGCTTCTGCAGAACAAGCCCTCTCCCGCCGCCGCCAATGGACGACATTTCCAACATGGCAGCAATGCTCTTCACACTCCCAGCACTGCCAGTGTCCACTGTGCCACCAAAGTCGCTTGCCCGCCTCTGCTGGTGATCCTGGGGCGGTTCCAGGCCCTCCTCTCCTTCCTTGGTGAAGTCATCGGTCATGTTGGTGCTGGAGATGGCCGAACTGGAGCGTTTGGGCGGTGGAGGCGGAGGCCCCTTCTTCTTGGGCCGCACCGCAAAGGACTGGCTGCGGTTGACGTTCTTATCGCCGCCCGACTGTGCCCGCACCGAGTGGCTGCGCCCGACTCGCCGTTGCACGGTGGCGTAAGGCACAGCGTCCGGCACCAGGAGCTCGTCCCGTTCCTGCTCGCTGTCTGACATGGCGTAGCGGTTCAGGCTGTGAGCCCTCTTCTTCGGCCGGCCTCCCTCTTCTTCCCCCTCTGTAGCTTGAGGCGGCAGGCACAGCACGGGCACCGAGACAGGCAGCACGGGCACCGCCTGCGCCAAGGGGCCTGCCGTGTGGACGTCTCCCTCCACGGGCTGCGGCATGACGTAAGCAAAGCCCCTGTGCGTGGGGGACTGCGGCAGCGAGCGAGGAGACATTGGGCGGTCTGACTGCGGCAGCAGCTGCGGTGTGGGCTTGACCTTGGCCATGGCATGCGGCACGGAAAGCGCCTGTGGCGAGGACGGGCGGGGCTTGGTGGGTGTCTGCGGCGGAGTGTAATGGCCCGCAGAAGGGGGGAACGATTGCCGGGGCTTTCCGGGAACTGGCGGCACGCTGGCTCTCTTGATGCTGTGTCCGTGCCGGAGACTCCGCACCTCCTTGGGCAGGGTGGCCGGGCCTTCCTTCCCGTCCTCGGCCAGGAACTCCTGGCTTTTGGACATGCTGGTGCTGGTGGCTTTGGGTCCGTCTCCCAGCAGCTCCTGGGAGCTGCTAATCTGCTTTGCTCTCCCACTCAGGCTGTTCTCGTGGACGAGGCGGGAGGAATGCCGGAAGGGCGGCGCCCCTTCGCGAAAGTGGCCCACGTGGTTGACCTGCTTTTCCGTCCCCCCCTCCTCGCTGGTGCCCGTCATGGCCACCTGCAGCTCGTTGCTCAACTCGCTGTCCTGGAAGGTCTTCATCTTGGGAGACTGGCACTCGGCTGCCTCCTGCTGAGGGGGTTCTATGGCCACTGAGTCCTGAGACTGTGGCGCCCCTTTCTTCTTCAGCGTCCCCGACACGTACTCAGCCTTCTGCAGCTCCGCCAGCTTCTTCACTGCTAGCATCAGCTTCTTCTGATGGCCTGAAAGAACATGGGGGAGAGAGGAGTCTGTCTCTTTGCACAAAAAGCCCAGTCGGCTGTTCAAAATCCCGAGACTCTGCAAACCACAACAGTGGAAAATGACACATTGCAGAGGGTTGGACCAGATAACCCTTCGGGACACTTCCAACTCTACAATTCTATGATTTTGCGATTCTATATTTTCTTTTATTTCATCAGCTAGGAAAATACTCAGCTCAGTCCTTATAACATTCCTTATAATTTATTCCAGGGAACAGAGTTGCTTTTTTCCAGCCTTGTACCACCAGTCATGAACTGGATTGAGCCAAGCCTTTTCCAGTTAAGGAACCAGCTTGTTTTTGCCTGCTGGAGGGCATCTCTCTTACTCCTTGCTACAAAATGCACCATGGATGGATAGGGGCCTTTTCCTGGGCTTGGGCTTGTCCATCATCAGCAGCAACAACTTTATGTGGCCACTTAACTCTTCCCTGGTATTTAAGGCAAACTCCCCCTCTGCCATAAAAAAACCTGTGTCCATGGGTCTAGCTGCAGTCTTTTTTCTTTCTCTTTTACCCTCCACACACAATTGCTTCTTTTGCATGTAATTCTAAGCCCTAGTTTGGTT